ATATAAAAATATGGAAATAATTATATTTTAGAATACGCTTCAACTTTCACTTTGTAACTATCGTCTTTGTAAAATTAGTGCCTCATTTTCAAAATGTTAATGTAATTATAAAGTCAATTAGGTTAAATATAAAATAAGACATTAATTATTCTATAAATTATTCTATAACCATGTACTAATTATTAATAATATTATTATACACTTTAGAGAAATGTAACAGAAATGTGCCAACTTTCAACTTGTAATTTATAATATTATCATTACAAAATCAATACAAATGTAATATAACATGTAAAGCAACCAAGTATTATGTGTGATAATAAGAGACTGTTAAGCTGATGTTAAGTATTTAAGAATTTAATACCAGCATCTGACGCCAACGTATGACGCAACTGCATCCTCGTTTCAAAAACAAGCGCTATCTTCTCCTGCACATTCGAGTCTATTGAACATGTATAGCTTGTGACGTAATTGCTAAAATGCGCACATTGCATCGGTTTCTCGATGACGTATAACTTTTTTAAAAACATCGAAAGAGAGAAAGAAAAGGAAAAAAACCGCTCTGGAGCACGAAGTGTTTCGGAAACTTTGCTCGCGTGTGAATGTACGAATTACGGTCGTTTCGCACAAGTGAGACCGGGAGGCACTTGCCAGACACGGCGGACCTTGAACGCAAAATGCTGTCTGGGCGAAACTCCAGACCCATTCTGGGACACGGCGCGGAATAATGGAGGTCCCGAATGCGGCGCGTGGTTACGGGCGACCGCGGGCGCAATATCGGCTTGATTACGTTAGAAATCAGAAACTGGGACTAAACTAAGCTCGATCTTCGAAGGACGGCGGTGGCGACGGCGGCCGGCGGTGGTGGCGGCGGCGGCAGACGTCGGGATTACCAACGACGCAAATTAATTCCACGGCCCAAGTTCCCTCCGACGAAGTTCTCTCGCGAACGAATCGTCTCCGCGCAATTACGGAGGAGGGGGGAGGGGAGAGCGGAGGACGGAGGGAGAGATATAATTCCCATCACGTGAAAAAGGCAACGTCCCCCGACTTCCGAGGCTACGTTATTCGGGCAAGACGGTGCGCGCACGTCTCCCACGCGGTATAACGTTTCGAGATGAAGATGGCAGCAACGTGCCCCGCTTGAAGATATCTCCGCCGAAGTAAGTTCGCCGGTGGAGGTGAACGGGCGGCGCGGTGCGACGCAGCGCGAGGAGGTGGAGGTGGCGTTCACCGAGGAATTGAAAAGTCCGTAAAAGAAAACCAACCTTTTGTCCTTGAGATACGCGGCTCGCGGGACAATGAAATGACTCGGCCCATCCGCCCTAACTCTATCTTCATATTCCGGACACAATGCAACCTCCCAAAGCGGCCCTTTGCTCGAACCAGCGATTTTTCGAAAGTTCTCTCTCTTTCTTTCTTTCCCTCATTCTTTCATTCTCCTCTACTGTGTTTTCCTCTCAAAGTGAGCATTTCGTGCAAAGACCCGTCGCGCTCCACGTACCTTTTTTCTCCTCTCTTTCCGCGAAGGTTTTCATTAACCGGAGAACCCGATAGCTCCCACTCGACGAAGCGAGCGTCCGCGTCTCTCGAAAAGCGAAAAGCAGCAGGAAATCGGTGATAATTAAATTCGATAAGAAAGTACGAAGTAGGTACTCTTGCGGCTCCAACGTCTCCGCTTCTGTTTCCGGAAGAAATATCGCGTGACGTTATGATACATTTTACCGCGCATTCGGCATGTATACACATAGACACACATATATATATATATATATATATATATATATATATATATATATATATACATACATATATTTGGCAAAGACGATCCTCGAACCGTGACTCCGCGTAACGAGAAACGAGGGAAGCCGTATTTCCCTCTCTTATCATCGCGACAGGTCGCGTTTGCGTATAAAAAAAAAGAAACAAAAAAAAGTTGCTTACACACGCGAAGGCACTCGCGACACGTACCGGAGGTCTTTACAAATGCTGAATCCTTGGCGCGCACGCGAAGTCCTTCACGCGAACGCGAGAACCTCGGCACGGTTTCACCGAGCTCCCCGTGCGCATGCGAGATCCTTTGAAATACGAGAGCCTCGTACATGCGAGATTCTTACACGCGCGAGGACTTCCGGATGATCGCTCCGGTGTTGGATGGGAACGCGACTGGAGCTGTGCGACAAAACGACGAGACGATCGGTCTCTCTTTCTCTCTCGCCGTCTCCCAGAAAAAACGACTCGATGAGATTCGCGAGACCGCGAGATGTCCTCCCGAAATCGGCATATTAATCATCGACTTTACGAGATCGCCATGAATCTCAATCTCCGTATTGTTAATATGTACTTAAAAAAACTGAGAGAAAAAACGCCTCCAAATAAATTACGTTCACGAAATTGCCCGCGTTAGCATGACCAACCTCTCGCGCAGGGGAGGAGGGAACTTGATTCTTCCCCGTAACCGTAAATAATACGATGACGTGAACGCGCGAACGCATCGTGCGTACGACTATCGTCCAACCGCCGGCGGTGATCGTTGATTGCAACTTCCGTCGAGGGCCATTCACATCGCATCGCGCGCGCGAAAGAGAAAGAGAAAACTTTCGCAATCGTCTCGCAACGATTCGGCGCACGATTGCGCACGGATCCTTTGCAACACGGGGGGATTATTCTGGCTGTTTCGTGCGACCGTTTCGAGTTACTGCGAAATTCCGCGTTCGGGTCGTGGCATGAAGGGTTAATTTTCTATCGCATGTTTCGCAGTGCGGAAAGACTTTGAGGAGAAGCGGGATAGAGCAGGGAGTGCGCTTCAATTCCCTTTTCCAAAAATAAACGCGCGTGTTCCACGCGTATTTCACAATTTAAAATTACGTTTTCGCATTTCAGATTTTTAGAAGTAAAACATGGTCTCTCGGATTTAACTCCACTGTTATTAGGTAACGCAGTGGCTAATAAACGTCTGTTTTAACTCCGCACAAAAAGAACAATTTTGCTAGAAAATATAATAATTTTAAACTAAAAATATAAAATATAATAATTTTAAACTAAAGATATAAAATATAAAAATTTTAAACTAAAAATAATTTTGTTGGACATTCAAAAATGATAGGCATTGCTGTAAAAGGTTTTGATATTCCAGCGATCCAGTTTGAATTTTCAACAAAATTCTTTTGATGGTCCAACAAGAATTATTTTCAGATCTGTATCCAGCAAAATTGTTCTTTCCGTGTGAATAAAACAATTAAAGAGAAAAGCTAAACAGCATAAAAGTTACAAGTTTTGCACGGAAAGAACAACTTTGCTGGGTCCAGATTTGAAAAAAATTTTAGTTCAATAATTAAAATAATTTTGTTGGAAAGTTACAATGATTGCAATGATGATAAAATATATTAAAATGTTTTATGGCAATACTTATAATTTTTAACTTTCTAACAAAGTATTTTGATGATTGAATAAGAATTATTTTCAGATCTGTATTTAGCAAAATTTTTAGATTTTTCAACAAAATTGTTTTTTCCGTGTGAACGTAAAATCCGACAAGATTTTTCACCCGTCATACGTCAAATAATAATGTTCACAAATCTATTACAGCTGTTAAAGGCTGTTAGAAAGTATCTGATTACGACGGTGATTCATATTTTTCGTCTGACGTGACTCACTGTACGAACGCATTCAGCGGCATTTCTTAACGTGCTCGAAATTCCGATGACAATAACGATTCGTTGCATCGTCCCTCGCCCTCCCCCCCTCACCACCCAGCGTGATGTACAGAATGTTCAAAGGAAAGACCCACAATGCGACGTTTCGTACAGCCAAAATACATTGTGGGAGAATAAACAATCGTGCGGTGATATCTGAGAGAACGCTTGTTTATCAATCGGCGAGTGTGCGCAATATTAATATTACTACACAGCGGGAAACATTTATTGTCTCTCTGTCGAAGAGCTTAAACAAGAGCTTAAAAAGCGGTGCGCTTGCATGCGCATCGGCTTCAAAAGCGAAAAATGGATAAATTTGCGCGTTATCGTCGATTCGACGTAACAATGGAGACCGAGTTGAGTTTTGAGAGTCGTCTATGTAAATACTACGTGCATCCGAATTCCGAATATTCGTTTTGTGATATTCAATTTTCAATGGCACACATACTTTTTATAATTTCAAATTTTCGCGCAATTTATCGTGCGACTGCATAATTTCTAACAGTCTTACAGATATCCTGACAAATATTTTGGAAATGCGATTATTATGAACAAATACCGTATGTTTGAACAAAACGTGATAATAATTACGCCAGTGAAAAATTTTTAAGTCCGTTACTCCTTCTAAATCGGGCTTTGCAGCTTCTTTGTGTCCGATAATAAAAGAAGCTATACACAGTAAAGCTCCGTGGTGGAACATGCTATAACATCCTGGACAGAATGAACGTTTTACGATATTCGACTCGATTATTCCTCAGTTAATTCGCAGTGTACTGCGGTGTACCCGTGGGCTACGTGATTTCACGGGCAATAGAATTCGCTGCGAATTTACGCGACGCGCGGGAACAGGTTCGCGGAAACGAATACTCGGAGACAAAGGAATGTGGCCGAACAGATGGGTGCAGTAGTAATGACGTGGCGCACGTCCCGGCGAGTGAATTATAAAAACTGGAGCCCAAAGGATGAAACCGACCTCGACCGCCGTTTCTCACGATGCGTCATAATAATCGTTCGAGGAGGATCGAAATCCGATCGCGATCTCGCGACATGTCGTGCAACGTGCGGTTTCTCTCACGGCCGCACGCTACCTCGCTCGTGGAGGAACGCGTGGTGACACGCGACGGTGCGGACGGACGGACGGGGGCTCCTGAAAGGATGATGATTCATGAGAGACGCGCACGCACGTACGCCGCGCACGCACACGAAAACGCGCGCGGCGCGAGCAGGTCGCGTCCTGTCCTGCGCGCCCGACGACGTGTACCGGAATAGCGGTAACGGTAGAATTTCTGGCAACAAGACACTCACCGCTCTCGATGTACGGGACCAGCAGCAGCAGCAGCAGGAAGAGAACGTATCCGCACGTGTCACTGATCATCGTAATACAATATTCCTCGCAGCAGTCGGGACACGCGCCGCGCTGGATATCTGGCGTCGGCCTCGCTGCACCACCTTCGCCTCCTCCTCCTCCTCCACGGCTCGTCTTCTTCGCTTTTTCACGCGTGCACCCCGCGCGCGGAGAGAACGAGAGCACAAACAAAACAGAAGCCCCGGCTCTCGGAGGGGGGGCTACGAAACGCGACGCGACGCGACGCGGCGCGGCGCGGTCGCCAGCAACAGGGTTGACCGCGACAGGGGGCGGCGAGGAAAGAACGACGCGTTTCGCACCACCTTCCTCTCTATCTCTCTATACTCGCACTCGCTTTCCTTCTCGCTTCTCCAGCAGCACTGCACACACCACCGACTCGTCTCGATCACTACAACGACGACGACGACGACGACGACGTTACTCCACGCTGCGTTTCGCTCCGCGGCGAATAATCTAGGGTACGTGGGCGACGGAGATGACCGCGAGGACGCGCGCTGCTACACAGTGGACGACGCGGACGATCGGCTGCGCTCTTTCGACGACACGGCCACCGCCACGACACGGACGAATATGAACGCGCAGCGCGCGTCTCCTTCTCTCTCTTTCTCACTCCCTTCTTCCCTCGCGTTGGCAGCTCCTCTCCTCCTCTTCCTCGTTTCACCTCTCGTCTGCTCACTCTCTCTTTCTCGCTCGTTTCCGGAGCACGGCCCGGAGGTCTACGCCATTATTTTCTCGTCGGGGGATCACGCCTCGCACGCGGACACCACACACGACCGTGTGTCTCTGTCTCTGTCGACCGACGACGCAGCAAGCCGCGACGCGCGCACGAACGACGCCGCACACGAATTCGACGAGGTCCGCCTCCCGTAGACCGACTTCCGCGACTGACTTGACGCGGCGCGTCCGTCCGTCACTCGCTCGCTGCGCTGCCTCGCTCGGCTCGGCTCCGTCTCGCCTCCTCGGTCCTCCTCGCTTTCCCCACGGCTCCACTCGGCTCGGCGGTTCACCGTTCCGCGCCGATAACAAGCCCGTGGCTGCTCCGCGGCTCGCAAACAGCTGACGGAGGGGGCCCCCTGCTGCCGCTTGCTTCTTCACGCACGGCGCGACGAGGACGACAACGGCCACTCGATATTCAACGGACGCATCGTAGCAACAAACACGGACACGCATACACACACACACAAGCCCGCGGAGACTGAGGGGGAAGTCGCGCGCGCGCGCGCGAGCCAACAGTCGCCACCGCCGTCGCCACTGACACAGTCCTGCCACCTTCGGGCCTCCCTGACTGCGGCCAGCTCACAGCTGCAACGTGCGTGCGAGATACGTACCGCCTGACTGTCTCCGGGCGGCCCGGAGAAGCGACACTGCCGACACTGCGAGATGGCGGCAGCTACCGCTCGCCGCGACCGCCATCTTGCCTGCCGCCGTGACGTCATGTGACGTCACTGGCGGCGCCTGCGCAGTGCCGCGCACCGCCGGCGATACGTAACAACGTTCACGTCGCTCGATCGCCTCGATCAGCTCTCTCGCCGACGCCGCTCTCTCCCGTGCGCACGAAAGCTGATCCGCGTGATGTTTATTTACATACGTAGGTTGGAGAACTTGGGAAGATACAGCTCCGCTAAAGCGATTGAAGAATGATGAATGACGCGACCATCTGATGCGACAACAGCAAATGTGATTGTACGTATACTGGCATTTAAATGTTACATTTCTCGAATTTCGGAGAATTTTTTATTTTTATCGTACCGTGAAATGCGCGTGTCTGCATATTAAATTTCTGAAAATAAATCTTATTCGAAGAATTTAGTGTATGGTGAAATACACAGAATGTTTACATGGAAAATGTTGGAATTTTGAAGAATTTGAAAAATGCGGGAACTTTCACATTTTTACAGTGAAAAAAAACGTTTTGCGCGACAGTGATACCTCTGAAAAAAATTTTGGAGAAACATTCTCTTTAAATCCTTCTAATCTTCTTCAACAATTGTGGCAAGAATAATTGATTTTTCTTTTTATAAAATTTATATTTAAAAAAAATGAAATTAATTTAAATTTTATAAGATTTATAATTTTAAGATTTAAATTTTATACAGAAATTTTCATAATAATGAGATACACTCGTTTTACTTGCAATTGAATCGTAATTTTTTTCAATTTTTGGTTCAATAAATTCTATAAATTTAATATTTTTATTTGATTCTTATTATGTGTTTGCCATTTTAATCTTAAAGTCATTCTTTTATTGCATGTAACTTTTTCGTACAATAAACCAATGGCGTGAATCACAGATTATCTACAAGACAATTTAAATTTTTAAGATTCTCATCTATATAAACGATAAAGGAAATTCTTTTTTCCTGTTGCAAAGAATGATACTTAAAGCAATGCTGGCAGGTCGAAATTACCGACATTACAGTATATGAATATCTTCGAATTGACTGGAATTGAAAATCCTTTCATAGGATTGAAATAGACTTCAAAATATAATGGAAGGATGAAGAAATTTGTAGTAGAAACGAAAAAAAATTTTTTTTTTAATTTTTTACTACAAATTCCTTCGTCCCACCATTACATTTCATGTCTATTTCAATTCTGTGAAACAATTTTCAGTTCGTCAATTTGGAGATATTCATATAATTGTAATGTCGGTAATTTCCATCATCGCCTTAAGATATAATATTTAAGGCAGCGTCTTAAAATAAAATATAACTAAATATTTAATTAATAATTTTGCTCATGTTTTTTTCTTTACCTTTCTTTGAGATACATGACGCAGCTCATTCTTCAATACATGTTAGGTTACAGTTACAAATCTCTTCTCGCGGCAAAGTTCTTAGCAATGAACAAAGTCGTTGCAGTTTTAATCATTCTTTGCAACATGGTTTTAATTAAATTCCAAAATTTCAAAAATGAATCAAGCATTTCAATATGACGAAATACGGAAGAGTGCCAATTTCACTTTTTATCAGCAAGAAGTAAAAACCATTATATGGAATAAAATAGACATTTAACATTATTCCTTTCGTTCATTTTTCATAGAAACGTCCAATATCTTAACCTTAACAAATATAACCTTTTCTTCATGGCTTTTCTTCATGGCAAATTGAATCAATCTGATAAAGTTTAGTCGAAGGTGAGCCAATGAAATTGCATAATTATCGACGTTATTTCCATTCTCACTCCGAAGGCCCCGCGACGATCCCTGGAAATAATTTATTAGATGCAAATTGGGAGCAGTAATTTATATACCGAGGAACGTCACTTATTTAATTGCTAATTATCTGAATCCTTAACGAATGGAACCCAAGAAAATTCGTCTGGATGAAAATGCGTCCGACAGCGAATTCGGATGAACCCGTAAGTGCGAATCGATCCGCCGCGCACGTCGCCCGGTACACCGATCGTTCATCACGACGTCCCAAGGAACAAACATCTGCCGCGAAAAATGCACAAACGGAGTACGAGACGCTGCATTTATCGCAAAATGCTGCGTATTCTTCAACGTATGGACCCGGTAGTAAGCAACGTTGTATATATATATTCAATTCTTTGAATCGACTTGAAAAATAACTCCATTTCCGCGGCTTCTACTTCGCTTCCGTTTTCAATTCTCCGTGCTCCGTTTCTCTTCTCGCGTTGTTAAAATCCGAAATACATCCGGATTTAATATATCAAATGCGATACAATATGGTATATATAATATGTGCGTCAGGACGCACGGAAACGAAAGCGCGGATCGATTTAAATAGACAATCAAATCAACTCCCGAGGAACTCTCGGTATAATCAGTAATTTCCGTTCGTATTAATACGATATCAGCTGTTATACATAATTATTATCATCAACGTATACATAATTATTATCATTTTGCGACCGTTATCGGATATTAATCCTTGAACTGGATTCGCAGCGGCGCTGTTAGATCAGCAGGCCGCGTATCGTGAGCGGCGTGCTGACAATACAAAGGAAGATCAGCGAGACGTAACGAGAGATGCCGGGCAAACGGAGCAAAAACACAAAAGCGTTGATACGCACGACATCAATTCGTCACGCAGACGCCGGTCGAGATCCTGCGTCAAGCTGCGCCTGTGCTGCCTGAGACTGTGTCGCGCGAAGAGAAGATGTTCCGAGCGCGTCATGAGGAAGCCGCGACAGCTTCTGCAGCGGATAAAGGCGCGAAGTAAGGAGTGCCGGAAACCCGACGACACGACGGCGGTCGCCGGGGTGTCAACTGTGCCGCTAAGCCGAGATGCCCCGAAGAAATCTAGAAGAGGTCCCGAAGACGAGGCGGTGGAGGAGGTCGCCGATAGGAAGGACGTCTCCGAGGACGCTCGGAAGGAAAGGAAGGAGCGGCGGAAGAGGGAGAGAGAGGAGAGACGAGAGAGACGTAAGCGCGAGGAGCACGTTGTCGCGCGTGCCGTGGAGCCCGCGGACGCGCGTCCGACGACGCGCGACGATGACCTCGTCGTCGCCAAGGATCAAGCGATCCCCGTGAAACCGCCATTGATCGCAGACCTGGCAAAGACCTGCTGCTACTTGTGCGTCCAGAACACGCTGGCGATTGCGGCCGCCGCCTCTCGGCCGGAGCAGTCCGACAAGTACGGCCAAGTTTCGACTCATAAATTTCCCGCGGAGACGACCACGACGGTTGATAGGAGCTGCAGCCCGATACTGCTGGTGCGCACCGTGCAGTCGTTCGTCAGAGTGAGGACGCGGGAGACCGGCACGCTTTGCCCCGGCACGAGCGCGCCGCCGCCGGCGATGCCGCGCGCGAAAAAGCGCAAGAAGTTCGCCGTGTTCCCGGGGCTGACGCGAACGAAGTGTCCGGCGGGACAGCGCGCCGCCTGCGTGACTGATAAGTCGAGGCGCGACGACGAGGACGCGAGGAAAAAACGCGAGCCGAGGAACGAGAGATGCTGCGGCGAGAGGAACGCCTGAGAAACCGCGCCGCGCCGCGAATTTCCTGCCGAAACTTGTCCGGATAATTAACGTTTGATTACCCCCACGGCGGGAAGAATAATTATACGTGCATCGTGAACCATTAACTTTCCATTATGTCACCTCGTCTTAACGCTTTAAGCGCTCGCTCACAACCACGTCATAAAGCTCGTAATTACTCCCGCATCTTTTTTTCTTTCTCCATCCGACTTTGTTCCTTTGCGCCTCGTGCAAGATTCAAGAGCAAAAAGTAAACTCGCCGTGTATTACTTCGTCAAAGGGGAGGAGGGCTTTCGCGATAGAATATAATTTATTGACGCGGCGAAACTACTTATTCGTGGAACTCTCTCTCTCTCTCTCTTTCTCGCTCTCTCTCTCACCTCTCGATGCTATTTTACGCTTTCCTTTTTTTTTCTTACACGTTCTCGATAATTCACGACACGCCTGTTTCATTTTTAAAGCTACACTGCCGCGGCTGCCCCGATAAACTTTACATAGAGATGCGCGACCCTAACTCGCGTGTGTATATTTGAATTGCACGTTGCATACGAATACGCTTCGATAACACATGTAATGCCGCGGCACGGCCCATCGTATATCTCCTCGTCGATAAATTATACCCACTGCCGCGTAAGCTTTGTCCCATTTACGCGCGCGTGTAAGCGGAAGATCGTTAAATTATGTACAATAGTTCGAATCAGAGTCTTACGTACAGCACATAATTATTTCAACGGGCGCAAAATCTCCTTATCCTCCCTGCAGCCGTCCCACGTGCATTCTCCGCGCCGCGCAAAATTTGACGGACGATGAGAAGTTTTCCTTTTTCTCCCTCTCTTTATTAAAGATGGATAAGGAGGTTGCTTCCTTTTTCTCCTGGCGCACCTTAAGCTCTTCAATTAAACCGTCTTCTTTGTGCGCCGTTTCATAAGTTCGCCGAGGACGAGAGCACGGCTTTTCTTGACGGCCGCGCGCTCTCTCGCTGGTGCAGGAGAGAAAGTGTCAGACATCGCGGGCGCTTCGTCTGTATCAACGTCATCTCCATATCGTTTCCATATTATTTTCATACGTGTTCCCCGCGTAGTATTTCCGTAGGGCCGTTTGTGTCGCTTCCGCGTCACTTGCACATGACTGCCGGCCCCGGTTGGAATCTCGTCTCGCCGGAAACGTGTAAAAAGCACAAGTATAAATTCAGAGCTCCATCTTTTACACACATTTTCTCATATGCATTACATAAATCCGTAATCGTCATATCTTATGTAATACAAAGTCGATCTAAAACGGTGTCTACAATAAGACTTGAGACTTAAAATTAAAAAAATTGACCAGTCACAATCGATTATTCTTCTCACGTAAGATGAATAATCGACTATGAGATCACATTAGTCAATTTTCTTAAATCTTAAGTCTCATTGTAGACGTTGCTTAAATAGCAAATATTACGTACGTAATTTGGAATCACTGTCTCCGTGTCTCCTTTACGTGAATATCATCAGAACGCAATTTTGTTCAGTTACTGAAAAAAATGTTACGAGTAAATCCAGTCATCTATTTTTCATACGATCCCCATAGGTGTTACATAAATCTACAACTGTCGCACTTTATATACAACAAAAATAATCGGTCTTGAAAGCAATTGTTAATTTGAGAAAATTGTCTATGTGTTAGTTACTCGAATACAATCTTACTTCGCTATCGCTAGAAAGTCACTAATAAATTCAGAACGTATTCTATTTGCACGAAACATTTGCAACGTAAATATAATGTACAATCATCCGGTTTTATGTACAACAAAGTCTCAATAATAATCGCGAGACCTCAAAGACGCGTCATAAAGCTTAAATAAGCGTCATAAAGTATAAATCTCAATCTCAATCGCTAGTGTGATTACGGCTTAATTGAAAGAATTAGTATAGCTTTACAATTGGCATACTCTTACGACATAGATTTCTTACAATTATATCGATATCTAAATTTTGAGTAAGAATATCCGTAGATAACGTAAAAAGAAGAAAAAAAAAGCAGCACACCGAGGACTTTGCAGTGGCCAACGGAAGGTCTTATTGCACTTCGCGATCGCCCGGCCGACGATCGACCAAGTAGTTCGAGTCTGCACTGCGTCAGACCGTATCTGAAGACGATACGGCGGGCCGGGTCGGCAAGCTAGAACTCCCGTCGTCCGACAAAGGGGTGCCGAACATCAAAGGCGCCGCGTAGTATGGTAGAAGTGGATACTGGGTGGTTGGGAAGTAAGTCGGTGGGAATAGTCCCTGCCGTTGCGCGATCTTCAGCCTGGACGTCAGCTGCTTCTTCCACTTCGTGCGACGGTTCTGGAACCAGGTCTTGATCTGCACCTCGGTCAAATTCAAACACTTGGACAGCTCCATCCGCTTGCTCACGCTGAGATACTTGTCGATCTGACGAGGGCCGAAAATAATATGGAGGGAGATTAATGACATTGTGTCGTGTTAGTGGGTCTATGACTAATGACGAGAGAAACCCGCGCAAGTCGTACCTTAAACTCCGCCTCGAGTCTCTCCAGTTGTTTTGCACTGTAAGCTTGACGCGGTTTCCGATCGATACCCGGTTTCCTCGACCTCCTGCCGCTCGGTTTGGGCGCTGCAAAAAGATAATCTGATTAGTCCTCACCTGATCGCATCTCTCAGTAATCATTGAAATCGCGTGATCCGTAATGTCAACTACGTATAGCCATTGCTAATTACATGGGGAGTCCCTCGAGTCCCCTGACAGTTGCTGGCATTTTCGGAGATTTATTGTCGTGATAATCAAAATTTAATATTCTAATCGCGCGTCTTAATTGCACGGCTAACTTCGCCAGCTCGGGCTCAATTATCACCTTACGATTTCGTGGCACCACCCGTCCGCGTACGTCCTGTCTAGGATCACCGAACGCGTCTCTGAGACGTGCAGGACTGTTTGCGGAATGTGTGACATCCTACAGTCAACACCATCGAGGCGAAGCGGTAACGAGCTGCGCAAACAGTTTATGACGGAGAACGTTTGGATGCGATTATCAACGTAGTGCAAAGAAGTACTACACATTTCCTTTGAAAAGCAGATATGAGATATTATAACGTAATTAGTTGCACTAAAATAATAGGACAATTGTTAACCACGTTGGCAAATATCCGTGAATAATTCATGCTGGAATATAAATACCGGAGCGCGATGCAATACTTTAGAGTAACAGCAGCTATATTTTAGTATTATTATACATATACTATTGAGCAAACAGGCGATTCTTTTTTCTGTTTTATATCCAAGTTTACAATTTATTACAAGAATATTATTTAATCTTTCGAAATAATCTTTGAAATATCATTCAAAAAAAAGTTCCCGTAATTATTTTACGAATTACACTATTATTCATTTTAAAATAATTTTTAATTGAATTTTATTATTTTTTTTATCTCTCCGTATTTTTAGAATTTATATATATATATACAGACATGTAAAAAATATATATATATAATTAATTTAGAAACGCTGCATCGTAAGTACGAGGATGTATAGAGTTAAAATTTGTGGGAATTGTTCACAAATTGTTCACATAACGCGCAGCTGTCTTTTTTCTCATTTTAACAATTTGTTCGAATTCTGAAAATAGCACGCGTGACGAGATACTCCTAAGATCGCGACATTTTCACATAGAGATAGAAACTCTTTTTGCTCTTGCCTCGTGTTTAATCACCGGTTAGCCGGGCGGCCCTTACACGACAAGTCAACAAATAGATGTCGCGTATTTGTACAAGACCTTTGCGTTTTTACAGGACCCTTCCAGCGTAGTCTACGACTACGGGGAACAGTTAGGTTTTTATTACGGAGAACGGTTTTTACCAGTTAGAATGTGACATATTTTGTACTCTACGTAAAAAAAAAGTTTACCTTGGATAATTTCAGACAAATTACATTTTCATCGAAAAGATTCGTGATCTCCTTCGGAGCGTGATTTTAAAAAATATCTGAATGTTCTTTTAAATTTTTTTAACCTTAAGCTTCGGAGTTCTTTTCCAATTCAGAGAAAGGATCTAACTATCTTTTACGTATTTAAAGTATGCCGACTCATTTAATTCGTAACGTTGCGTTAACTATTATGCAAATGCGAAACTCCTGCGGCAGATTAGAGATTTTAAATGTTTCAATACGCGTAATTCCTTACGCTCAATAGGAAACTCGATGGTGCGATGTATACCGTGCAAATAAATGTTCAAGAAGCGTTTTGTTTCTCTATAACAGCTACATCTGTGTTTGTCTAACATTTTTCTCGCAGTAGAAGGCACGTGTAACATGGCACATTTTATTGAACGTGATAAATTTAGTTGAATTCAATTCGTAAAAATAGCTTTATTGCGTGATATAGATTAAAATATATGGGATGTAAGTCTGATTATATAAATATGATAGGCACAATCGCAGTCGAGATGATCGCGTTCTTAGAAATTGAAAGACTGCCGTGGCGACTGGAAAGGAGAATACGCGCACGGTGACGAAGAAGAAGAAGAACCGGCGGGACCAAGATTTACGAGTGTACAGAGACATTTAACACCTTCGTGGAAGATAGTTAGACCAACGGTGCTGATAAATGGGCTCCTAACAGTATGGCGGATAGTAGCCGGAAAGGGAGAAACAACGCGATGGCGGATTTTAATCTTGTTTCAAAAAAATCGCAAACTACTCGGGATTTCGACCAAGAATCGCCGTATAACTGTAGAAAATTTTCTACAGTTTTATATAGATTTAACGAACTGATGCGGCAAATCTGCGATGTTATAATTAAAATAAATAAAAAGAGTGAAATTGTCAGAAATTTAGAGATGGCAGAATTAACTGAAATTTTGCGCAGCGTTTAGTGCAAGGAAAAATATATCATAGATTGTGCGATTTTTACGTGGCTAAGTATTTAATATTTCGCCAGTAACATGCCTGAAAACAGGGGGATGCAACAACTGGGCCACTGATGTGTGCCTCGCGTGTCGAAAAGCTGTTATCGCACCGGCGCCTCGTATAATATCCAATATTCGTTGAGGCCGAGAAAGAGAGGGTGCCCCATCTTACACCTCTCCCGGCATTGTGCGCGAAAATAGAATTACGGTGGTAAGTTATTACGAGTGGATAATAATTAGAGTCCTTTGTCGTCGCGATTCTCCGGGGAGCGTTAGTGCCTCAGACGTACACGAAGAAAAAGATTTCTAGCACCGTGAACATTTTTCTTAGACGCCTACGTATCTATACATTCATTTTTGTAATTAACGACATTAAATGATGGTATTGAATGCTTTTAAAGAACCAGACAATTCAAAGGCAGATTTGAAGCAATAGATTTTATTAAGTTGAAAGGAAAGTAATGTCGTATTTTTTTACTAGAATGGCCCATATTTAGAACGTACTTATTATAATGTTGATGTTAGCGCGCATTTAGCATATATTATAGTTTACGTTACACACATTATAGAATCTCAAGACGTTTTAATATCGTTATAAGCGCGTTCTGAACATGAGCCGATAACTTATGTGTTTTATTAGTGAGCAACTTCAATATCAATCGCATAAATGCATACTAATGTGACAGTTGTAATCTGTAAGCATTATTTAAATATATAGTAATCATTCGTAGAAGCGTTTGTATTCATTTAAGATCAAGAGAAAAATGGAGCAGAACGAGTTGTATTTTCGCTGTTTGATATCCGAACAAGAAAAAACGCGATACAAACGAAACAGGAAATATGTACTGTGTATGAATAAGATGCTGTATATAACTGAAGATATATGTATTAAAAATGGTTTGCGAAGTTTCGTGCTGGTGATACGACATTTAAAATTGAGGAGCGCTCTGGTCGACCGGCTGTCGTTAATGACGAAGAACTCAAAACTTTATAATCGCGAATAATCAGCGATACATGACGTGGAAGATTGCCAAGATTCTCCATTTATACAATCACTCATAAATCGAGCGTTTGCACAAGCTGGTATATGTGAATCGTTTGGTTAAGTGTCACATAATTTAAGTAGAAAGAATTTCCATTTGTGATTCATTATTTAAACGTAACGAAGACCACCCATTTTTTAAACGACTTATAACAAGTGAAAAAAATAAGTTACTTATAATAAATAACGCAGTACGCAAAAGATCCCGAGGAAAGTGTTCAGAAAAGCTGTTAACCGTTCCAAAGCCTGGGCTTCATCCAAAGAAGATTATGCTATGTATTATTTGGGAAGGGTGTCGTGTATTATGAGTTTCTTTCAAAGAACGTATAATATCGCTTAATTCAAACAAATATTGTGCCCAATTAAACAAACTGAAGGAAATCATTACAGAAAAACGCTCAAAATTGATGACTAGAAAAGGTGTTTTATTCTATCAGGACAATGCTGGGCCTCATATATGTTTCTTTAATCACTCGAAACAAAATATTGCGACTCGGTTGAGATCTTCTACTTTACCCAGTATATTCAACAAACATTGCTTTTATTATTTGTTCTATTCCTTGCAAAATTTCCTTATAGTGAAAGTGAAACGTTCACTTCTTTGCAGACTGCAAAAACCACTTTCAACAGTTCTGAGAAAACGCTTGAATTTTACGCGTGAAAAATTATGCAGCTGTCCAAAAGATGGCAAGTAGAAAATAATAGATTAAAGCTGCTTGTAAGTATGAATAAATTTGCTCCTATTTTAAGCTAAAAATACATTCCATTTAATATTTTCTAACATATTGAATTTTTCTAAGGATCTGTACTGGATTCAAAGATTCTTTGAAGCAAGATTATGAAGAACGAATTCGATATTCTTTTCCAGATACTAAATTAGATTCTAAAGATTTGAGCTTACCTTGTAAACCAAACAGCTGTCCAGGCTTTGTTTGAGCAAACCAGCTACTGTACAGTAATGAGGCTGATGCGAGTGATGTTGCAGAATATGCCGAGGGATCGGATAGTGCACCTTCAGAGTACGGCAATCCCGCATGAGTATACAAGCTTCCTTCTATATCTATTAAATCACATCGCATCGTATTTATTAAAGCGTAACACTTCCTTCTTTTCTATGTACATATTCAAAGTCTCCTCTTTTGTATATTTATCTAGGTAAAGTTCTTTATTTTGCCAACATTCTAAAATAATATAACTTACATCTACGTAAAATTTATTTATTTATTTATTTATTTATTTTCGTCCATATAAATTCGCTGGAACTTATTTTATATTATGTTTTATTATATTCTTCTAACTTTAAACTTTAGATTAAATTATAAAAACGGGAATATTCCTTACTAATAATTATTTTATTTTTAAAATTTATTTTTTATATAAATATAAAAATTTTTTTGGATAATGATCTAGTTTTCTAAATGTGTTTATGATATGCTTTACATACCGGAACGTGTGGCTGGTATCGCTGTCGGCTTAACGAAGTGTCCCTCTATCCTGTCATCCGTGTCGTCTTGATCCTCCTCTTTATCGCCGGAATTGTTTATTCTAGAGATTTCTCTCTTCTCATTTCTCCCGAGGATACTGTCGATAGTGAAAGCACTGGACGCCGCGATCGGGGATGAATTTCTTCTCTCGATCTGCTGTTTATGAAACTCCCTGTAACCCTCGCAACTGGAATCGGACGCGTACTCGATGGACTCTCGATTGACGGTCGGCGATATGCAGCCTCTCTCGATGTTGTTCGAAAAGGCTTCGTTCTCACTCGGGAGCGATCGTGTCCGGCGAAGATCATAAACGGCATCGTTCATTTTCTCGCGGTTTTGATAGAGTTCCATCTTGTGAAAAATCATCGATCTCGACTACAATCGACGATTCTGACTCTCACTCGGACGACGGCATACGTTTGAATAATGATTTAAATTCGCGCACTTTACATTTGACGACGACCGAAGTAATCCGATAATTTTTTTCACGATTCTTCTTTGAATCCACTGTTATTAACGTAAATTATTTAGTTTTTGGCTTGATTCAATCTGCCATATCATTATTTGCCACCAGATATATTGAGATCGAACGATTATATTTTTTTAATCGGCGAAATATTTGTTACAAGCAAGGAATGTTTGCGAGAGTCAGCTATAATCGCAGGAAACGGCTTGACACGCGTTTCTTCCTTGATCGATCACACCTGATCTCGTACTAATCTCCCTTCGGAACCGTCCAAAAGCAAGTACTTCCGAAAGTATGACAAGTGGCACGTGTCTGTGGTCCAGAGAGGGACCTCCCAGCATCCCCACCAGCTTCCCACGGGAAGGTCATCCCGTGAGGTTGGAAGAATATCTCGCACCTTGGAAAACCCCCCACTTACCCGATATCTCTGATCGGAGTAGGGATCGCAGGTTCACGGCGGTTTATAGCTGAGATTTCCCATTTTAGAACTAATAGCTTTCAAATTTTATTGTATCATTTGTGAAATTTTGCCTTTCTTTATGCGGCCGAATGTTTTACGAAATTCAGCAACACAATTTAATATATATACTTATAATAATAACATCTTTATCAATAGTTTCTTTATAATAATTTCTATATAATATAAGTAATTAAGAATTAGATGCACAAAATATATGCAGGATATAAAATTTTTCAGATTTCGCGGATTTATATTAATCACTTGATGATCATTTATTAATGATCCTTATTAAAATTATATACGTAACATCAAGAGCTGTTATATGTTTTTTTTAAATTATTATTCTTTTTAATATAATTTATTTCCTATCTCATATAGTTTTACTACTGTTTCTATCAAGATATCGTGTTTTCTATATCGATACCATTGGTACAGCATAATTTTGTAAATTCACACGATGGATTCCTGTATTCCTATTTTATCGAGGCATTCACGCGTTTTATGGTTTTTTCCAAAAAAGTGCTTGAGCTCGACGACTCGGCTTGCGCACTGGCGAATTTTGCCACAGGCGAAAAAGGGCTCATCTGGGATCAAAAGGTGGATCTCCGATTGGTCCACAAACGCGCAGGATGCTCGCGCAGCAACCGCCTTCTTTGACCCCTCTATCTCGAAACTTTATGCCGGTAAAACGATGGTCGCTTCTCTCTTTCCTGTTCGCGCTTTAGCAATGGATAAACGCTTCTGCCACGTGAGGAACATCATGAAAAAGTACCGCAAAACACTTCTTCACGCGTTTAGCGAACTACGCGCAGTGGTTCTCACTGTACTTCCAAAACGTATGTCGCGTTTCTTTTTCATATTTAGACGATTGTACTTTATGAATACAACTTTACAAATCATCAGTGACGATATGTGGCAAGTTAAATAATTATAACATGTAAATTTTGCTTGCGCAAAAATGTCAATTGATTTGACGACAATATTTGAAAAATTTATAATTTAATCTACAAAAGAAGAGACAATAAATCTTGCGATAATAATTGGGAAATAAATGCTAAGTATTTCTATATTTAAGTATATAATCAAATGGAAATAAAAACTTTAAATTTGCTTCCGCATCTTGCGTCGTTTCGATCCCAGCTGATTTCAACTTCCGCCGTTGATGATAGTCCTTATCGAACCATATCGTGCTATTTCTGTTTACGGGCACGGCGTGGCGGCCATTTTCGCGAATGGTACGTCCATTAGTCTCCGGGCTACCCGTGCCAATCTCAATGTTCATCCTCGCGCGCCGTAAATCCACTCGGCTCCACGCTTCCGCGGCTAAAAGGACCAATGGCGATTGTGAGCCCTTTCTACCGCCCGCCGTCATCGATCCTCTCCCCGATCCACGTCTGAGTTATTTCGTCTTTGTGGAAGAGCGTATATCATTCTTTTCATATACATTAGACACCCCAGCACGCGGTGTCGTGTTCTGAAAACGCAGTCATTATTAACCTTTCAATACTTTCCGTTTAGATTTGGATAACATAACTATTATATTGAAAAAAAATTTTTTTTATTCCACAATATATATAAATGATATTACCGTTTATTATGTAATGTTAAACTACTGACTACTGACTTGGAAGAATTTTTTACGTATAAAAGGACACGAGATATGATTCTAAAAGAGCGATATGTATCTTTAAAATTGCACAGAGTTCCCTAAGATATACTTAACAAGATAAACTATAACATAGAAAAAGAGAGTGATTCAATTGTGATCCGTTTTTTTTTTAAACATCTTTTGATAACAAATTAACTAGGAGTGAAAACTAAAGATAAAAAACAAGCAAATTGTAACTGTTATCTTATTATATTTCAATTACATATATGTTAAGATATACCAAAATTACAGGCTTTTTGGTGCCCGCGATTTTTGTCATCTTGCTCGTTTCTGGCTTTTAGCGTTTTTTAGTTTTCGTTTCCAGTTAATTTGTTATTATAATAACGAGCCGCATTCATTAAAGTTTTATTATCTTTTGACTTTATCGTCGAATCGACGAGATTCTTATCTTGTTAACTGGCGAGCTGGTTATTTCTACTTAAGACGTGAATTCACGTTCACTTGTCTCGCGTTGCACACGCTATTTCGCATGCTGGTTATACACGGGGTTGAACATTTTACACGTACTTGCGACCGCGACAAATATTGAATCTTAAATACATGAAGTGAAATGCGCTTAAGGCGCGTCTTAGGTGCGAAGAGAGGAAGTAACGACATGGTCAACGCACACGTTAATTTACGACCGCGGGCATTACTTCCTGGAAACTAAGCGTGGACGCGCTTAAACGTTTTCCTTCCAAACCTACCATAATAGTTACGTGCCTCTCTAAAAATAATTTAAAGCGAGTCAGCGAAATTAATCACAGCGAGTCGAAGTTTCAAAAATATAGACGCGAATCGCGGAGAATGAAAATTGCTGGCATTTCGTTTGTAATCATGATCCGATTAACGCGGACAGCTCTCGGCGTGTCTGACGCATTCGCGGCATGCACGTTTGGATAATGCGCGATTATTTGCGATTTATTTGCTTTATATGCCATCCCACGGGAGACACTTGCCCGTAAATGTTTCGAATAAACGATCCATTTGCTCGCTGCGAAGTTTACTCTCACGTTTGATGCACGCTGCGCCACGTAATTGAAACGATCAATCAAACACCTGAGAAAAGGAGGGTGAAGCTCACGCGTGCACAAACCGCACCGCAGGTCGCGTTCACGCAAAAGGGGAAGTGCGAACATCTCGAGTACGAGCAATTAAGAGCCCGGTATTCTTCGTGTTCCGCCGAAAATATTCCGTAGCGTGCATTTAGAAAATATTAATCTTTCTCTTAAAAGGAGGAAAAATATTATAAATTCTTTAATATTCCAATTTATAATCGCTAAAATTTATACATTCCCTGTTTCTCCCCGTTTGCGTACTGATCGATTATAATTTTCGAGAAAAAAGTTAAATATTATAATTCAATAAACAATAAATAAACAAAAGCCAGATATAATTTCCAGATATATATTTTTGTCTGATATATCCGATAGTTCCTACGACACCATTAATAATCGCGTGAGAAACGTTTATTTCAGTCGGCAGGACGAGACGCGAGAGACGCGAGGATTCTTTCGAAACTGCGCGATTAATTTTCAGTAAGCTCGGCGTATAACTGGCCGCTTTTGGTGTGTGTACAGATATAGCCACTCTCGCGAGATATTAGACAGGTGAGCGCGTTCCCAGGGGAACAAAGGCCCCATTACCCTGTCTTACCACCTCGACCCGGGCGGACGTCCCGACAGACCCTCCGCTGTTGAAACATTCATAAGAGCGTTGTAAGTGGTTTTTAATAAACGTATTTAATCATGAGTGTCGGATTACGAATTAAATCGGTGGGTCCTGTCACCAATCGGAGGGATTAGTCATGAATCTAAACAGATGTACAACCCGCTTTTTTGCAGGTATGCGGGTGTTTTGTCTTTCAGTCTTGATGCCGACGTGCAGCATCGTCTTATTTTACAGTTTCATAATTTTTTTAGTAACAATTTAAATTTAAAAAAAATTAGTTGCTGCAGCTTTTCTGATTATATGATTCATAATGAATATTCTTCTTTTAACATAGTTTAGTACTTTAAAGATTTTCTATTCAAATATTGATTTGTTATTTAAATTATTTCAAATATTGATCTCTTATTGTATCATATATCTGTACATTCAATACATACAGTTTATTAAATGTATCAGATTTTTTTCCACATTTATACATATATACAGAGTGTTCCGAAATTCGCGAATCAAAATATTATAGCAAGAAAGTCTTCGAAAAATTAAGTAAAAGAGTTATGTGTAAATTTTTATTTTAAGCAATAATTTTTGAGATATATAATACTTTAAATTTAGCAAATTATAGATTAGTATGCGCGTGAAATGCACGATCATTAACACTATTGACTCGCGCTCACGGACATGTTTCCGTTTAACCGTAATTTATAATTGGCTAAATTTAATATATTATATGTGTCTGAAAAACTACTGCTTAAAATAAAAATTTACAAATAACTTTTTTCCTTAATTTTTCAAAGACCTTGTTACTGATATTTTGATTCGCGAATTTCGGAACACCCTAAATATTATCTAGTTATCTATATTTTATCATTAAGCTTCTTTCCTCCCTTTTCATTAACTACCAAACGGTCAAATATTATTTTTAAAAGTTACAAATAATTGTACAAGGCTGCGCTTAATATTCTTTTATGTATGTACTTGAAACTGTAAAAAAAACTGTTGTAACGCAGTCTAGGCAACATTACGGTTAAGGCAATTATTTCTAGCAGACAAGCGGATTATTACAATAGCGTGTCGCCTTCTCTTCAGTCACAGTCATCTCCGCGTTTCAGCGACAACTCCCGTGGCACGACTAGAATGGCGCTAGAAAATTTATCGGGACGCGGTGAAAAATCCACATTACGAATTTACGAAATAATACATCTCTTCGAAATCTTTTTCGTTATTTGCACAGTATCGGCGCAGGAATGCTTCGACGACGGCAACGAGTTTTGTATCAATCAAAACGACATACTTTCCGCGGATCTTTTACCTGGATCGTTTTTGTTTAGCGATCAATATAAAAACCCCAATGTCCCTAAGCTAGTGATAAACGAAACTGTGGATGGGTCTTTTGATACAGCGTTAAACGAGATGGAGTTTCATAGGTAAATGTTAACGTATCTGATTTGAGAATCAAGCAAATAAATGTAGATGTGTGTAATGTCGATTAAAATAGTCGATATATGAAACTAGGAAAAGAATGAATGAATATCTTTGTCACGGCTACATGGCGGAAGAAATTTTTAAGGAAGTGACCACGCCTAGAGTGAAGCGACATCCCGAAACTTCGCCAACCAACGATTTGCATCACAACTTCTTAAGCGACGACAACGTTACGATACACGATAAACTTTTGGCGGATGAGGGAAGCTCGAAATATAAAAACTGGCTGCAACGGTAAACATACAAAAACTTTAAACTGTACCTACATTTGGGTTTAAAAGAACTATTTATATAAAGTTTTTTTTATTAATTCTACTATTATGTTTAATAAACTTCATTTTTTTTAACAAACTAGTACATAACAGGCGCGCGCTTCGCGCGCGCTGCGTATTGAATCACATCTTCCAATAACATTTATACCAATTTATATTTTAAAAAAGTTAAGCGTTTAATTAAATTTAATAAAAATTTAATTAAAAATATTTAAGAGGGACATACTTAAGAGATAAAACTCTTGCTTTAAAATAATTAATGTTTATCTTTCTAATTTTGCTGTGATGTCTACAGAATGCTATAAAATATAAACAGAATTTCTTTAATTTTCTAACATGTCCATAATAGAACGACGACATTGAACGACGTGTATAGACACTACGCACCCCACAAAAAAATAAGAAAGAAACAAGACGTTGTCCAGCACGACGATATTGAGGAGTTCGATGGCGAGGTGACGGGATACGCGATGCAAGCTCCTCTGCCATCGAATGGAAAAGTGGGCGTTTATGAACCATCTCACGAAGGTACATTACAGAATATATGTTGCATGAAAGACTTTTTAACACGTGAAGTTTACATATTTTCTACGAATAGATGACATGCTGTCATCATCGACGGGACATCATTTCCATTACACACCTTCGTTTGCTAATCACCACGCTGATTTCTTTCCATCTATCCACGAAGAATACTATTATCCGCCGCATCATCAAGATCATCATGAAGAGGAGCATAAACCCTCTTATTCCAAAGGAAAGGGCCATGATCTCTCAATCAAGGACTTCTTCGAAATCGCGCTCACCGCGCTTGCATTCTTGGCATTCGGACTATTCATCATTCAGCTTCTGCTGAATTGCACGGTATTAAAAAAAATATTTTCTTAAAAAAATAAACGTCTTTATTTTCTAAAATTTCTCTTTAAGAATATAAGAATAAAAGTAAAATATTTAATACAAACACGGAAAGAACCGCGATTTTGCTAAAAAATCTAAAAATTTTGGATATAGATTTGAAAATAAATTTGTCGGGCCATTAAAATAATTTTGTAAGAAATTGAAACTAGTTGTTAGAATATCAAAACGTTTTACAGCAATGTTTATTATTAATGCTTTTCCAACAAAATTATTTTCAGATCTGTATCTAGCAAAATTTTTAAATCTTCCAGTAAAATCGTTCCTTCCATGAAGGAATAGCCGTACACTAATAACTTCGAAAACTTGAAGAAGTTTGAAAATTTTAGGACAATAGTGGCAGCAGGCGAATCAGGAGACACGCGATTTCTCTTTCCTCGTCTATCATTAGCAAGGAGGACTTGAACGAGCTATCTTATCGCGTTTTGAGATCTATCGAAGCGGCCATGGTCGCCGAAGCAGACTCTGGTAATTGTCTACGTAGGACATTGTGTGAAGATAATCAATACTCCAAGGAAACTAAAGATGATCGCAGAATTTGGATTCCCGTTTGGAGGTAATGGACCGCGCATAAACAGCAATCGTGATCATATGAATTCCGCAAAGGACACATATCTCTCGTGTCGAATCGGTCGACGCGATATCAGTGGTCGGCGATTTTTTAAATTGTATATCCCAAAACTGATAACATCGACACCCTTTTTTTCAGCTTGGGCATGAGTTGGCTGTCGGGCAGGATGCTGCACAAGACTCCATGGTCGGCAATGTTGGATTCTGTGAAAGCGTCAGTTCTGGGCTTGGGTGGGATCGACTGCGCGTCTCTCTACCCGGAGTGCGATCTCGAGGGCGAGAGGATTAAGAGGCGTCGCAGAAAAAGGAGATAAACAATGTTTTTTTTTTTTAAAAGATTCAAAGTAAAATGAATTAAACACAAAGATGATTAATAAAGAAATCTTACACGCAATCTGTATATTTATGAATATAAATAATAATTTATAAATTGTACTATTTTTTAATGCGTAATAAATAATATAATCGGCGCATCATTGTTTATCATTACGGTCGATATCGTCCTCAGGAATATAATTATCATCAGCATCACGTGAAATCGGCAAGAGCGTTGCATAGCTGGATCCACTAGGACACACGTGGAAAACGTTTCTATCACCTCTGTCCTGCAACGGCTGACAATTCGTCAAAATCGGCATTTTGCGTTCGTTGCACAGTGTGCGGAACTCTGCGATCTTGAAAAAACCCAAGATTATTACGAGATAAATTAATTACGTGACGCTCTCATTTAATAATTACTTAATTGCCGTTCATTGATAACTTTGTTAACACGATGTAACTGTACTTGATCGATGGATATTCCTAACGGTCTTCTGCTTATTAACCAAAGTACGCTATTTCTGATATTTGTCATGGTTATGGAGCCCCAGTAAACGAAGTAATCACGTTGAAAGCATCGCATAATGTTCATTAAAGGGAAAGGTATTAAACGAATGGAGGAGTGAGCCGCTTGGATAAAGGGTATTGTGTTTATGATATCAGCTAGAAGCGGATTGGGGGCTGCCTGCAGCTGTATACAATTACTATTTCTAAAACATACCTGTTATTTTCTTAACATCTAAAAATATATTCTTATTCAAATTTTGGGATCACACTTAAAAACGTACCAAAAAAAAATCTAAAATTATTTCATATTGGAAGTTAGTTTATTTGAAATAAACTTCTTTTAATACCTGGAATAAATATACCAATATAGTGACGCCGTCAGTTTGACGGAGAGCCCCTAACTGAGTTCCGTATTCGCTCTTATAATGGACCGCATGCAGTTCCATTGACATGCTTTCGGAACAAGTGCGTTCAAATTAAAAGAACAGGTAAAATTTATAAACATATATAAGACAGTAAAAATGAAACCTTCCACCGTCGACGCGGTGTTCGCTACCGTCCATGTCGGTCTTACCCCAATGGAAATGTAGCTGCGAGAAGACGTAATTGCCGACGAGAGGACCGCCGCACAAATACGGTTCTTCTTCACGCCATGTTGCGCTAAGCATGACTACAAATGATAAACGTAATTATTCTGCCAGAAGCAAACATTCGGATGTGACTCTCATTTTTTACCGGTGTATCCAGTATTGCTAAGTTTTAACTTTTTTGGCGTGACATTGTAATTGAACCACTGTACAGGATTTAGATTCACGATTTTCATGTAGCTGATATTTAAATCGATTGGCGATCTCAGCTTGCCATCGGTATGAGCCAATTTTTGTATAAATCTAACCGTTTCTTTTTTGCGCTCATGCTCTATGTGTATATATAGTTAAGAAAAAGTGACATTTAACAATAAAAGTATTTTAGCCATATAAAATACATGATTTCAAGTTATACGTCGCACCTGTCGAAGAATTCATACCGATATGTTATGTGTTATTCATTACTGATAAATTTAAATGTAAAATTTGTGGTCCATTTTGCTTTGTCTGAACTTCAATTCAAACCTTTGATCGATACCGAGCATTGTCGATGATAGAGCTTTCCATATTTCCATACTAAAATGAAAGTGCATTTTTAAAGAGATACCACAAAAACGCGTCATTAATTTTCTTTTATTTTTTAATAGATTACTGGAAAAAATACGAGTTTAAAAACTTTATTTGCGTGTGCATGTATGTACACGCGCGTAGATGTTGTATACGCACTTCCTTACCCATTAAAATTTAAAAAACAAATCGTTTTTAATTAAAATTTAAAACGAACTTTCTGTATTAAAAAAGTTTTAATTCACATTAAATTTAAATATTGAAATATAAATTTAATTTAAAATTCTTGATAAACTCTTTTAAAACCTTTCTTTTTGATGAATACATATTGATAAACTTAACGCGTTTAACCCATTTAACATACAAACTGTCAAAACGATAAGCTGCTCGCGATACTAAGTGATATATGACATCGAGATGATTAATTAGCATCACAGAAAAAGGGTAATATTTAAATGTGATTTTACATGCCTTCATTAAAAGTGGGCAAGAAAAAAACATGGCAACTGTGATTAAAAATAACGAGTTTAAAGCTGAAATAAATTTAGATTCTCATTCAAGAGGATAAGACATTGGATTGTCTTAGATATGAAGCAAGATATAAAATAATTTTTTGATATCTCAAAAATGGACTACGCGCGAAAAATCGGTAAATCTGATAAGCCCCGAATCTGGAAGAAGACTCGCCAGCCGCTCGTAACGACCAGGGATAACCTTCTCTCCGGAGACACATTCTTTTCGGAAGATCGTCGCCTCGTAAACTGGGAGAAATGGCTTGCCGATCGAAGGAAGCAAAATCGTCACATCGAATTTGTTACAGGTCGTTCGCCGGCCGATCAGCTGCAGAGTTCCTCAGAGAGGTTCCGCACCTACGTCGAGATGAAAAACCTGATGGAACACGCTGCCGCGGCCGTACCCGTGGTCGCCGATAAGTACCGCGGCGGACCGGAGTTTTGGAGAACGCCGGAATTCCTGCCGAATCGCGGAGATGCTTGTCTGCCGGACGTGTCCTTGACTCCCAGCAGAAGGGACCTGAATCTTCCTCCGGATTTAATGCACGTTGGACTGCCGGATTTGACCGCGAGGGAACGGGACGCCGCTCGGGAAACTAAAGAGGAATTCTGGAAGCGCAGCGAGTACCTGAAGACGCGTAGGCTCGAACTCGCCGAGGAAATCGCATTGCTGCTGCCGAAGGAGCCGGACACGACAACGCTGGCCGTTCAAGGGCGTGCCTGTCGAAGGAAGAAGCTGCCGCTACTACGAATTCCGCCGATAACTATTACGGCGCCCGATGAGGACGAGCCATCACACGAGGAGGACGCCGATCAGGCGGTGGTGCTGAAGATTCAGGATCGAGAATTTGTCTGGCGGAGATCTCTCGTGGAAACGGAGCCGGCGGACGCCAATCCGATCACGTGGTCTTTGACTTTCGCGGGTGAGTGCGACGAACGAATCGAAAGGGAGATCGTTCTCGAGAACAAGGGAACCTGCGTTATCGTGTACCACTGGCGGCACTCGCCCTTTCGGACGTACGGCATGTCCCTCGAGAGACCCGGGCGCAGTCCATTCTTTTTCAACAAGACGAAGGAACTCTTACTTCCGGGGCAGATCGTGAGAATCAAGGTGTGGTATCGATCCAGGACACGCGGAGTCTTCGCCGAATTCTGGCAACTCGTCACGGATCCGAAATTCAGTTCCTCCACGTTCACGTTTCGCTTCTGGGGCTGCTCCACGACCGATGCTCGAAGCGCAGAACTGACCGATCACCGAGCGATCGACGAATACCTGAATCGCCGCATTCGCGACTCGACGATCCGCTCGATTGTCGAGGAGATCATAGGTGGACTGGAGAAACGCGGTGAGCCATCGGTGCCGCTTTGCGAGATATCGCTTTCGCAAAGTGACTTGTTCGTCTTTCTGAATCCCAGTTACCATTATCACCCGAGTATCGTGATGCAATTGCAGAGACTATATTTTGACGTTACCGGTGAAGGCTCGCCGGCCTGGAACTTGTCGCTGGACACTCTGCGGGATATCCTTTTACAGATAAAAGACACGAGTTTCAGACGCGATACGCTCGCTCGATTTAACGAACTTTGCAAGCAAAGCCTCAGACCGAGATTGATCGAGTTCGATGTCGCACGCTATAGTAAATACGACGCTGTGTACAACATTTTATGTGCCTTCGCGAATCTGTTTGAAAATGAAAGTGAACTCGTGAAGAGGGACAGTCTGATACAGGAAGTGTCAGCAACGCCGATAGAAGTGGAGCAGAAATTAACGCCTTTGTCTCAAAGATCCGATAACAGCTCGCAAAAAGTACATGGCAAAAGATTAAATCAATCAGAAGGTGCACTCGTGCAGAAAAAAAAGGGAAATTTCGACTTAAATTTGCAACCTTATAGAGAAATATTCTTTATTCGTATATATAAAGCTCTAGAGGAAGCAGTAGAACGAGTTTGCGCCAGTATCGATTCTTTCCATAGACTTAATGAATTAAAGATTAAAATGTAGCGGTAATTATATCTATTTTCAAACAGTAACAGATAATAAACTTCCAAATTTTTAGTCAATAACTTATATATGAAATAATCTATATATTTAATGTGTAGTTATATGATATACTTAAGAGATTATTTTATTTTACACGTGTTGTAAAAAATTGAAAATTATTATACATATGTAGATAATTTCTGTAGTTGTGAAATGTTATAAGAAATTAGAAATTTTCAAGATAATTGTTTATTAAGTTTAAAGTAATGTGCGTAAGTTTTTCTTAAGAGACAGCTAAAAATATTTGTCGTCCCCGCAAAGGTTGAACGTCTCTCCAATTTGATTTTATAAACTCGCCATTTTTATTCTTTAATTTTCGGAACTCATTGAGCTGAAAATTTTATTAATTATGTATGTATGCAAATTTTATTATCATTATTCATACTTTTTCTATATATATATATATATATATATATATATATATAATAATTCTAATTTTTCATAAGTATCAAATATTAATTGTATAAATATACAAGAAGATAATAATTACTATTAAAATTTCATAGAGATCTTGTGTTTTGTTCATACATTTGGTATAATTAACATAAATTAAATAACTAACTTGACAAGATTGTATAGGAATAATAATTGGAAATACAATCCACGTAACGCAGAACAGTTTAAAGTCACCGTAATTTCCGTGATACGTATAATAACTTGGACAATCTGTTGCAACTCGCATCCAAGATAAGGAATCTAAACATCACAAAAATGCTAATCAAATTCGAAACATCTTATTATATCAGATTATTCTACTGTCCGAATATTAACTTGCTGGAATGCTTATCTCTGATCCAGCGTTCTGAATAAACTTTAGATTTTCAGAAATTTTTTCAAATTTGACGTTGTACCATTCACAAGATCCCGATTGGACCTACGAAACAACATAGTTAATAACGGATAAGAGATAAAATATAATTATGTAATTATACGTGAACATACCAAAAATAAATAAGCTAACACACAAAGGCCATCTGGATGTTTTAAACACTCTTCGAAGGTAAGATATTTCTGATTCCAATGCACTAAATGACACTCCATGGAAAACCTACGTTAATTTTAGATAAAATTTTGGATAAAATTAATTAAAAATTACATTAATAAAGTTACATTAAAGGGGTGCTAAAAAGAAATAAATATAAGATACAATTTAGATATGCAAATTTTTTTATCTTAAACTATAATAGCTATTAAGAGTGTATGCATACCAAGTACCATTGATCGTATGTTCAGCACCTCTACAATCATTCTCACCCCAGTGAAAATGCGCATTGTGAAATTCATATTTGTCATTTATGAGTGGTCCACCAGATACTGTTGATGGGATCCTATCGCCATTCAAAAAGATAAATGCTGAACAAAAGAATAATTTAAAACCTAATCGCATATCTACAGAAACAACATTGATAACATCATTTTAACGTAAAATAAATTGATTTACCTTTTTCACCGTTATTCAATAAAGTTGCATTTCCATCCTTTAACCAGTGACCATTTAAGATTAACGGTGGAAATCTCACACGTCGAACAATTGTGTCATTTAAATCAATCGGTGCTTCACCGCTTCTTTGTGGATCTTAAAAATGTATTTGTATATAACATATAATTAAAAAATGTATAATGTAAAAATTATAACGTCAAATACGCATAACCTGTTATCGTTGCCATCATTTTCAATATTTCACTTACCTATAATTTTTATGTAACTTTCCATTATTGCATTAATTATAAAAATTATTTTTTATCGCTAAAAAAATATAATTAGAAAATTTTGTACAAAATGTATTTGTATATGTATTACATTTTATATTAATTTAAGTAAATCTGATAAGTCATTAATATTTGAAGTTAGCTAATTTATGCAGTTATATCTTATACATGATAGAAGATAAATTCGTCCACCGGATGAGCATACCCTTATATTTATATCATGGCAGAGAGAAGCATATACAGCGAGCTTGGGACCCTTTGAAGGATTTGATCATACATGGTTTAGATTTGAACTTTTTAAAATAAATGTTTATACTTTTCTAAATTGTAAAAACATTTATAATTTATTCAATATATTTATAAAAATATTTGTAAGTTAATTTTTATGCACGTCCCATCGGATTGTGCTGAAGAGAATTTCAGTATCAAAAACAGCATCAGTTTCCCATGAGTTCAGGGATGATCATTAATCCCATGAGTTTTCTTCGAAACGGCTACGGTGAAAAAATCGGGCTAAGGTTTATTAATTAGCGATTAAACATTACTTAATTCCTATGCCTGTCCCATTGGATTGTGCTGAAGAGACTGCGAGTATTTCAGTATCAAAGACAGCATCCCATGAGTTTTCTTCGAAACGGCTGCGGTGAAAAAATCGGGATAAGCGCGATTAATTAGTTACTAAACAGAAGTTAATTTTTATGCACGTCTCATCAGATTGTGCTGAAGAGTCTGCGAGAATTTTAGTACCAAATCTAGCGCATCCCATAATAAAACAAGTGAGCGAGTCCAAACAATATATTTCAACAAGTTATTCAGATTTGTTAATTAAAAAGTTATTTAACAAGTTATTTGTATTGTTTATTGGTTTGTTTTCTCGGTTTTATTCGGTTTTATTTCGGTAATCATCGGTGATGATATATTTTAAATCGATCAACTATACTGCAATCGATCAAACTACACTGCATTATTCGTGGCAAAGAAAATCTTTCTTCCGTGAAGAAGATGTTGCGATCTGTAATTCCTTTCTATACGCTCCCACTTATAATTGTAGAGATTTCTGAATGCTTCGATCTAAGGCGATGTGTTATATTATTATACGTCGACATTTGCAGTTGTATGTAATTTTTAAAGTTTATTTAATACGTGTACGCTTTTAATATACCTGATAGGAAGATATTTTTATCGCATTTGGCACGATAATCCAAGTGACGCATTCATTATACGGAGGAGACGTGAGGGAGCCTGAATAAGTATAATATCCAGGGTATGTGCATGCATGCGTCATCCAACGTAAACAATCTTGAAAATGAGCACATAGTTAATTAAAAAATGTTAATATTGCAAATAACTGTCTGTATAATAAATGTTTTCGTGAAAAGCGAAAAGTTTTTACGTATAATGTGATAATTAGTTGATTTATTCTGTGTTATTAATTATAGTCCAGTAAATATTAAAAACCGTCTCATATTGCGTAATTACCTGGAATAATATTTACGGTGCTAGCTGTCCGTTTTATTTCCGAGAGTTTATTAGTAATTGGGGCAAGCATAGGATTTTCTGGAATCCCAGGACAGCCAACGACCTTTTTTTTATCACAATAATATATTATAATTAAATTGCAGCGGCGATACAAAAAAATGGCTTAATACTTGTGAAAATGAAGCTGTTCGTCGTAAAAAGATTCTTTAATTAATTTTCAGCCGTTATACCTGCATGAAGTACGAGAGTATTGCAATTCCATCAGATTTGTCGTAACACTTGTCTATCGATCCGTACCGCGTGTTCCAATGCATAACTTGCGCCTCCATTGAGTACCTTGTTAAATACTGTCATTCAGAAGTTGCATTGATCAATATTATAACTATATGTCGAAAAACAAATTCGTGTTTAATTTAAAATAAAATGTAATTTTAATTTTAATTAAAACTAAAATGAAAAATATTGGTATACGCATTTCTCCACTCTAATTAACTAATAACTTTTTATCAAATTCGTCTCTCTAACCAAATATTGTCGATAGAATGTTCCGCGCCTCGACAGTTGGACGGGCCCCACTGGAACTGCACGTTCATGAATTGAAATTCATCATCTTTCAAAGGACCGCCGCGCATTATCGGTAGCGTTCTATTCGCCAACTCAACGCTAACTAGAAATTAAACAACAAATTATTAAACAATAAAGACGTAATGTATTGTTACAAATTTTTCTACGTATACTAAATCTGAAGAATCTGAAGAAAACCTGTTTTGCCAGTGTTTGTAAGTATCGCTGTGCCATCGTTCGACCAATAATTTGTCAAGAGTAAGGGGGGGAGTTTCTTACTCCACACGGCGGTGCGACTGATATCAATCGGAGATTGCCGCCATTTCGGCAGGCCCGATGATGACGTAGTGTATAATTTTTGTTCTTGTGTAATACGCGCTTGAAATAAATTTGTTACATAAATATAACAAAGGCACTTTTATATAACCTATTAAACAAGAAGTGTCTAGAACAAATTTGTAATCTATAGAACGAGTTTAAGATTAACATTTTTTATTTACGTGACTGTACACTTTTAGATTTGGATGTCATCTGTACATCACGATGAGTGCATAGAGTTCTCGAAGGTAATTTAATTTTTCTTGTCTGCTAAACGTGGCATGTTATTTTTGACATGTAACAACTTTTTGACTATTACGATAACATTACTGTATATATTGAAACAAATTGTAAGTAATTGTCAATTTAACAGTGAGAAGTTGCTAACATATCGTAATACTTTTTAATTCAGCAAATTTCACATTTTTTTGCTTCATTTTTTTTTTTTTTTTTTTTTTTTTCCCAGTGAAATTCATGAGACGCTCATTTCAGCGCGTAGTCACGTGACTTCGACTTTGATGATAGTATGGATGATAGCGTTAAAAAAATGACTCTTGAGAAGAATTAAACAATAAAATGATTTAGAATTTGTCACAATTGTTGCACGATGATAATCAACGAGAAAGAGAAAGCTCTAATGCCGACGGCAGACGCATGATTTCTCGAAAAATGTCTTTATACAGTAGCAAATTCACGTGTCCTAGGTAATGCAAAGCATGCTTTCTCGAGAAGACTTAAATGATAAAATATTCTAGAATCTTATTGTTGCATAATGATTAACGAAAGATGTGAAATTGCTACTGTATAAAGACATTTCCGTTTACTGGGATGTTTTAGAATATTATAAGAATTAATTTTAGTTGGATAATGGTCAGTAAGGAAAACGAAACACCGAATCATCGACGAGGTATATGTATATAAACATGTAAACTTTTCATTGTCGATAATAAAATAGATTATTTGTTATCCTCGGTAAGTTGATACAGCCAAAATGATTGCAATGTAATGTCATCGTATTTTCAATTATCCCCTGGCCCACTTGACAGTCACGAAAATTTGTCTTTGACCGACTGTCTTTAATAATACCTTTAATAATACGTCGGACCGAATATTTATACGGCTTCAGAAATATCTTTACGTTGACGACGCTGTGCGTTTGTTAATGCAAGGCATGTTTTCTCGACACGACTTAGACGTCTCCGAAAATTATTGCATAATATGGCTGTGAGAAAATAAGTAAAACATCGAATCGAATGTTTACGCGACTTATACTCTGTGACTAAATTTCAAGATTCAGTATTTTTATGGGATTACCTTCACATAATTTTTTAGAATTTGAAGTAAGCTTCATGTATCAATTTTCGATAAAAATTATCATTTGACGTTTGATATTATTTTCGTACTTTTATAAATATTTTTGATAGAAATAATTTCGGGAAATAAAACGATGGACAAATTCTCAAGTGTACCGCTCGCCTAACAGTTTTATTACGTCGGAAATACCGCACGCGGATTTTAATAAATTCGAGCTCTCATAAATGTCGAGAGTAAAGTTTTATTATAAAAATGTTGGACTTCTCATTAGCGGAATGTATGGTTGCGTGTAGCAGCGTTCTACTCATGGGTGCGTATATTTCACAGAAGGACAAAGCAATTCAATTGTGAAATAATAATAATGGCCCACAGTTTCACGATGTTTATAATATTCATATTCGCGAAGCTAAAGTTTAACAATAGCTAAATTTTTTATTTCTTTCGTTAGTGCTGTTGTTAACCGAAATTTTGGATTGGACGCAGTTATTCGGGTGGATGGAAAACGATTACCGTCCGCCCGCCTTCTCGTTCGGTTACGCTCATCAGAATGGTCCTCATACTTGGAAAAATCTATATCCTGAGAGCACTGGTAGCAATCAATCGCCTATTAATATCACGACCAGGCTCGCCGTAGTGGTGCAACCGTCTGAACCACTTCGATGGAGCAATTATAACAGCGGGCCGTTGTCGATGACTATCGCAAACGATGGCCATACCGGTGAATTTTCTGCAAAAGCAAACACATTAAAATACATCTTGATATTACCATAAAATAATACCGGGATGTAAAATAAAGTAGACTAATTATAAAAGCAATATACCGTACCAGAAAATATTTTACTTTAATGTACAGTGATACTCCGAGGATTCTGGACCAACACCACGTGGCCGCAGCTTCAAGGAGGGCCCTTAACCGATACATACGATTTCTTTAACGTCCTCTTTCACTGGGGTCCGTCAAATGAAGAGGGCAGCGAGCATACCTTGGACTACATACGCTTCCCTATGGAACTGCAAATCATTCACATAAAGCGTGGAATTAAATCGCCGATGGACGCGATCGCGCTTGGGGCAAAAGACGGAATAGTGATTGCTTCGTTCTTCCTTCAAGTATAATCCTTTTGTTGACAGATGATATAAATGCTTCATCACAATTAACTATATTGAGAAATTAAATTAGTGCATCAGTAAACGCGTAATTTTATGTACCGCGCTTGTCAAATTTAACTCGATAATTATCCCTGCTTATTATTGTGATGTATTTAATGTCGCAGATAAATGACGCGGACAATCCTTATTTGGATCACATCGTGAGCAATTTGTGGCGCATTACCTGCCCGGGATCTAAAGTCTACATACCTCCTTTTCCACTGGAATGGATTTTCGCGCCTTTCGACAGAGATTATTATACGTACAGCGGTTCTCTGAGCCAGCCACCTTGCAATGAAATTGTCACGTGGATCGTGCAGCAAGAACCAATCGCTATATCCTTATCTCAAGTAAAATTTAATGTCACTGAAATATTTTTCAGCTTTATTATCATATAATATAATTTACAGATAGAAAAATTTCGAAAAATCTGTTCAGTTGAGGGTCCATTACTTTTAAATTGTCGACCAGTTCAGCCGCTGAACGATCGTGACGTCTATTTTTACGAAGAAAACTTGTCGTAATTGATATGCTATAATTATTTCATCGAAATGTTTAAATGATGAAACATATATAGAAAACTTGTCTTTTTATTTAATTTTAGTACGAATTTATGCAATTTATGTCAAATGCTAGATAGAATTAATACGGTGATACTGTTCTATTTAAGTGAATACAATTTATAAAATTGACATTAAGAATGTTTATAAATAACGTAGCGACTTTTATTCTGTAAATGTTTATTCTATAATGTTAAACGTTAAAAATTTTAGTAGTGTATAAAATGTAAACTCGTGAAAATATAAAATAAGTAACAATTTTCTTTTTACACAGAGAACAACATCTTTATTATCTTTAATGTGCGTTCTATAAACGCAGGACATTTCGTTTTGCCAAGTGTTTTTGAGAAAATAAAAATATATTAAAATTTGTGTCACTCATTGTATAATAAAAATTCTTTTGGCACAAGTTATAATAATATTCTTCGAAAATTAGTGTCGGAGAGAGGAAAGCGTTCCCTTAAAGAATATACATATATGACGCATTTTTATACACCGATATATATATAATATATATATATATGTATATGTATATGTATATATATATGTGCGTCATCCATTTCGAAATGGATGATGTCTATAAAGATCTAAACATACACGATATTTTTTTTATTAGGAGAAGCTGGGATTGATTAAAACTTATAATTTCTTTTTTAAGTTGTCGAAACACAGAGATTATTTTGGCACTATCTTGAACATATATTATTAGGCTAACAGTAGAGAGACAAGTAAAAATTTAATCAAATGTCACTCTAAATAAATGAAATTTTTTAAATTTCTTTAGTTCGATCTGTAGCTAAGAATCTAGGCTAGTCAAACATATTTTGAAAACTCACGTCAGTCAAGGTGGTTCAGTGATGTGTGATTTGAACGTGTCTCTTATTGGACCACTAAGTAACATCGTTTAGCAGTCTGTGAATAGAATATATATATATATATATATATATATATATATATCTCAATCAGCCTCAGTCTCCCCTAAGTATACTCACATAAATATATCTTATTCGTTAAAAATTATGATATCTCTTCAAAAATTCATGTACAACACTTTGTGCGAAAAAATTATTTTACAAATCCGCAAATCAGGTAAACATTTTTCACAAAGAAGAAAATAACTCGAAAGTTCTCACGCACGTGCGGCGCATGTATCCCCGGTCCTCCTTGGCACTGGCAAGTGTATTTACAGAAGACGGCAGAACGCCACGGATAACAATTTTACATTGCTAGCCAAGCTCCGCCGTGATGGATCCGTCGTGAGACACCAGCGATATCATATCGTAACATCGCTATTTATTGTTTAGTATTTAAGTTAGTTAGATTGAACACGACACAGATGCGTATGTTTTATATGTACAGCGGGACTTGTGTTTTTCTTTTTTGGTCACATTATTGCTGATTGGCAGCAAAACGCGCACAGAGGGAGGGAGGGTGGAAATCGATCTAAAAAAACTCAGGCGTAGCACTTATCGTTATTTCGTTCTCGAAGTTCTCAATGAACAGACACCTCTGGTGGAACAGAACAAACATTTAGATTACTTTCTTCCCCGCGGGAGTAATTCCCAATCTCGATTGTTGTCCCGACTCACAAGACCGAAAATGGATTTCGGATATATCTTCCGAGTAGCGATACATGAAGATATACAAAACAAATCTGTTTCTTGTCCCAAAGTTGTCAATGTAAAGATTGAACGTGCCACGACATTCTCTTTACTTCATTGAGACTACGAACCCTGGATCATTCTTCCTGCATATCTCTTATCGTGCGGCAGAGGAAAGCGGACGTTATTATCCCGAACGTCTGAAATGTATTTACATTATATTATTTTTTTTTACAAAATATACAAGATGCAAAAGGGAAAACCATTTAAGAAGATATTTGATATAAATCTCTTTCTTATTATTTATTATAATCAGAACTGGGCAAAATACATTATTAAAGTATTTGAAATACAAAATACAAAATACTTTTTTTGTGCTCCGCTGAAATACAAAATATAAAATACAAGTGTTTAAAATATGTCCAGCCCTGATTATAATCTATTTGAAGAAAGATACAGCAAAAAATTTCTTTAAATAAAAAACTGTAATTTATTATACAATATAATTTTTCTAAAGGTGTTTTGTAAAGTTTGAATATCAAAGGCACTCTGTTGAAATTACGAACCTTAACGTTCCTTCTGAATCTTCCGGAGTTTGCAAAAAGTAATAATAAGATTTACCTGTATTCCCGCCATCGCCATGCCGAGGAACACTAATGTGAAGCTCTCGAACTGCAGCCAGTTCGTGACTTTCCCAAGGCAGCCCTGAAAAAATGCGTTGTTGAAATATTGTAAGCACATGCTTAGGTACATGTAACATGCAGCGCGCGCGATACACGACGCTCTCGCGGGATGGTACCTCTTTGTGTCTATATCCCGCGTGACCGTCACCATCTTCTACTTGACACGCGGCCTCATCCTTTGGCAGCGGCTGCAGCCATGGCTTCTCGTTCTGCCGGCGACAAAAGATTACTCACACAAAGTTCGCATACATTGTCTTCATCGTCGACATTTTACTCACGTTTTTGTGAAACACCCTCGAAACAACGCTCATCGGGCTGCCTGTGTTTTTATTCTGTAAAACAAAAGCTCTCGCTAATGAATCGTGTGGCTTATTTTAACTAAACGTTTAACATAACGTACAATTTAAACGAGATAACCGGAAAATTAAATTATTCACAAAAGTATCGTTATAATTCATAAATTACATCGCTTTAAAAAAAAGAGATGTCTAGATATCGCTATTACACAATGTACATCTAGATTAATATTACTCAATGGACTTGTATTCAGGGCTGAGCAAAATACATCATTAAAATAATTGAAATACAAAGAAATTAATGGCAATCTTAGTATTTGAATTACAAAATATATAATCTTTTGATTTGAAGTACAAAATGCGAAATACTTTTTAATTTGATCCTTTATTACGATGATACATATAATGTTAAACTTTTTCAACAAAGCTAAGCGTTACAACATTACGCGGAAATTTTATTTCACTTCCGTTAGAGTTTCTATACAAGAGGCAGTAACTCTTATTTCTTTATAACGCTCATTTTTTAACGTGTGTACTTTAGAAAACAAATTTATTGAAAAAACGCTGTCAAATTAAATTTTAATTAATATTTAATTTTATGTCATTATAAATAAAATAAATAATATATAATTTCATTAATAATTAATTAATAAATAATTAACAACATTAATTTCAATAAAACTAATAAATTTCATCGATATCATAATTTTATTAAAGTTTAACAAAATTAAAGTTTCAACGCTGACGATTTGACATCAATTGAAACTTGACGAAAATAATCGGTGTCGCCAATTGCCACATGAGAAAAATTTAAATTATTACTATTATTATCAAGTATTTTTTTGATATTTTATTCAAATACAAAATAGATTGTATTTGAAATATAAAATACATTGAATAACCTTTTTGAAATACAAAATACAAATTGTATTTCAAATACGAAAGCATTTGAAATATGCTCACAATTTCTCAAAATTTTATAAAGTGCTTCTCATTTTCGAAAATTCGATATATTGTTTTAATACCAATCAATTCAAACGTATAAAGTACCTCGCTATTTTTGAGAACACAACACGTGAGGGGAACATGCCTCTTGCTCCCTGAGATTTGACCGTCCCTCCACCAAGCCGTGCCATTGTAATCGTCATCGCCGTATACACCGCAGCAATTAAACTGCAATGGAATCATCCATGTGCTCTTGGAACCATGGCAAAATGTCTCATCGGGCAGACGAATTCTGACAAAGCATCGCATGCGATTCCATCATGCATAAAACATAATTTACATGCGCGTTTCCGCGCGTAATACATGCTGCAGGGAAAAAGGAGACAAAACACATTTTTATATAATAATATTTTAAATAAGAAGATATATTTTGTATTCTGACGAAGCATCGCTAAAGTATCGTGCATACAGATACGATTACAACGTGTGATCTTCTGGAAAGAATATATCCAGAGCGAACTCATATATGACATCACGGTCAAGTAAAACACACCCAAATTAATAACTAATATCGATAGTTGAAAAATATTATATCCGTAGAACGAATTAAATAAAATTTACAATAGAAAAGAATATCGCAAAAAGATTTGAAATAAAAGAAAAGTCGAAAAAAGACTTTTTCATGACAAGACATGCCATAAAAATCGATGAGCGGTCAAACGATCAGCAGAACGGATTGAACAAAAATCACAATAAGAAGAGGACCAGAATATATCGCAAAAAGATATAAAATAAAATAAAAAAGTAAGCGATCTTCAGAGACATCATGCCGTAAAAGATCGATGAGCGGTCAAAGGGTCAGTTCAGCTGCTGATACGACACCTTATATTGCGCGAAGTCCAGACTGTGGCTGAAGGGGATGTCGCTGGTCTTGTCGTGACCGTATTCCATCGCCAGTTTGCTGGTGAGCCTCTCCTCCAGATCCGAGAGGATCTGGAATGTCATCAGTCCGCCGATCGCGGCCGTCACCAGTTCCGTGACAATGAGCGCGACCAGCATGCTCATGTACTGCGGAAAAACGGCTACCGATAAAAACATCACCGACCCTGACCCGACGTCTATAATAATACGCGCGTTCCTTCCCTTTCTCCTCTCCCTCTTCGAGGGGCGGAGGCAATAAAAATGTCGTTTCACTCACGGTGGCGAGGATGCATTGATTTCCGCGTAGCGCGGCGCGGCAGCCGAAGAAGCCGACCGTGAGCACGATGAAGCCGAGCCCGAGGAGGCTGTAGGCTATCAGATTGATAGTCTCGTGCGGCTTGACGTCAGACACGAAAAGATTGAGGATATGCCCCTTGCTGGGCTCCAGGAGCAGCCACGCGCCTATAACGAGCACCGTGCAGCCAGCCAACTGCCGAAAGGGAAAAGTCGACGATGATTTTACGTCCCTTCACTTCACGTTCCCTTGATCAGGCGAGACAGTAATTCTGTATCCCCCAGGAGAAACCTTTTCCCCCGAACGTCCGCGTGTTAATTTAAGCGACGCTTAAAATAATTCTCCATTCGGAGATAGAATCCAGAATCTAACTCAGGCGTGGATAATGTGATACAATAGTACATGAAAAACGATCGTTTTGCTCTCTGAGAAGAGTACAGAATTACGCCAGAATTATTTATAGTTTGAGCATCTGCGTCTAAGTGCCCGTGTGGCACGTGTCGCTATTTCGAGACTTATTTTATAATGTTACAATATGCATGCACAATGCTATTTACCCATATTAATAGATTAAACGTGAACAACACGACTTTCAAGTATTTCATGTCTGTTATCCTTGATCTTCCAATTAGTCATCAATCTGCAAATATAACAGAGCGACCTGTTGTAAGCTCAAATATGTGATGCAACGTGATTAGAAATTGTTATAGAAATATTAAACACGGTAAAACTGTTTTTTAATTGAATTTTTTTAATATACTCAATGTATTAAATAATATGCAATCTTCCGTTTCTGTTTTGCAACTGTTTTTAACAAAATAGTAATAATTGAGTGCAAATGTTCAATTAAAGCTATATGTATTTTTCTTTAAGTAATACTTAAAAAAATGTGTTTTAAAGTATTCCAACATTTTTCTCCTTTAATCTTGGTAATAAATGTATAAAAAGGACTTGGTAAATGCATGTTTTCTTGTTTTTAAATTTGATTTTATTTTTTTTAGATATATGTTTAGGGATGTATCATAGAAAGTGTTTTTTAATCATTTGAAATTTTTAACTTCTTAAAAAACGGATTTTCGAAAACGGATTTCGCGACTCTTTAAATATTAGCAGAAGTGGAAAAATATTTTTAATCTGCTAATTTAAGATTTAATATTTTCTCTTCTAAAAAGCTGTTGAAAAGAAAATTATTTAAAAAATATCATTTATTAATTACTGGATTCTTTAATTTCTCGTATTCCGTATTAAACACGATTCTTTATCTGCTACTTTGGCATAGCTTTTCATTCCATTTATTTACTCATTAAACATAGTACGAACTATTAAACCGTCAAAATGTCACTGTGGAAGACTCTAAGATAGTAACACTGTATACAAGTACTTATGTACCTTAGTCACGAACGAGTTAGTTTACTCTTCTCAATTTACAGTCTGTCACTCGCTTTCAATATCCTGTATAACACCAACGTAACTGTTACACGATCACACGATTACAGTCCGTCGTATATATTTTGTAACAGTGTCACACAGTTGCGCTGGGGTCACAGACGCTCGTTGCACGTATCCGTAATCCACAAAGACCATTCCCCGTCTTGGCGTTTCCGATTCGGTTCACAGGTGGTTCGCGATCCCTTTACGGCACGTCATCGCCGTTCGATCGCGTCGGAAGCTCCGATTTGCGCGGCGGCGTCGGTCGCCGAGAGAACGGACGGGAGGACGGACCCGCCTGTTACTCGTCGATACTCGCCGGAGGATCGATGAAAATATACCTCCGGTAAATTATATTCGCGTGGAGCGCGCGAATGGACCGCGCGCGTACAGCCGCCTCCGTAACTCGCGTTAAAAAACGAACAGACGATTTCTCGCGCGTTGATCCCGACGGAAGGACCGGCGGTCGAGTATGCCGGATGACGGCCCGAGCGTTACCTTGCCAAAACGGAGGAGAGAGCCTGCCGTCGGAGATCTCGCTCTCGTTTCTCTCGCTTCTACGTCACCGACGCCGGTCTAGATGCGTCTGCGTGCTCCCGCCGCCGTCGCGGCTCGCGCCGCGGCGCCGACGCTCTACCGTCGGCACGGTTGAAACCCGCCCGCTACCCAGAACGATCCCGTCGACGGGCTCGTACCTCACCGACACGCTCTCGTCTCCCGCCCTGCAACGAGTGTGAGTGAGCGTTATCTATATACTGCACCCCCCTTCCCCTCCCTCAAGTATAATTTCCCACGTTCTAATTAAAATGTTATAGCCATTCTAATTAGACAGTCGCATAGAGCATTCCGAATGGAGTTTCCATTCCCTTTTCCAGCATACATTAGAATCAAACAGCACGGCGGGTTACGTGATTTTGGGACGGATTTTGAAATAAATTTTCGTGTAAAAGGATTATACGCCAGCGTCTGCGCTCTGCGCGCAGCGTAAATATTATCGTTAAAAATATTATCAAGGCGACAGAGTTAGCTGCGTGATTATTTTAGCTATAAGGGCGTGTCGAGGGCGTGATGAGGGCGAAATATAATATATTCCCGCACATTCTCGCTTCCAAGAACGCAATTCACGCGTGTGAAATTGCTGAAAAGAACTTACGTGGGAATCAGGCGAAGCTTGCGTCTAATTCAGCTGCTTGAATAAACTTGAATTAATGTCTACGTAATAATTCGGCGGAGCGGTTTGTGTTTGCTCTGCGTCGAAAGAGGATACGCTGCATGCCGGGATACATTGTCATCAAAGAGGCCGTCATTTATGTAAATATAATAAATTTATTATTAGGTATTAACAATTTTTTACAGAATTCGCGCTTAAATATTATACAACTACGAGTAAAGGTATCAACGTTATAATCGGAGAACACTTACTTGTAACACGTACACGTGATTTTTTCTCTCTCTTTCGCTCTCTCTCTCTCTCTCTCTCTCTCTCTCTCTCTCTCTCTCTCTCTTTCGATATAAAACGCGGCTTAGAAATTGCACGGCAGTGGACGTCCGCTATATACGACTAGAGATATACATTCAATCAAGTCGTATCAATTCCTCCTCTCAACCTAGTGTCTTCCCGCAGATTGGATTGACCTCTCAGTCCACAAAGTCGGTATAGAGCGGTCGAAATTACATGGAGGAAATGGACAATTACGCATGCCTAATTAAGTACGCAACTCCACCATTTACGCGGGTGTCGATGACGCGTCCCCCGCATGGCAGTCGTTTAATTACGACCGTCGGTGCGGCCGTGTGAACAATGGGCGAGCGTACATACGTGTCGCGGTGGAACCGGCGCAATAGCTGCCAGCTGAGACTTCACGGATACTCCCCGCGATCACGTGCAAACGGTATGCGCCCGTCGTCATCGTCACGGTTAAATTGTGATTACAATAGAATGACATGAGCAAACATGCGATCTCGTATAAATAAAAAAAAAGGTATTATAGTACACAACGCGATCGGGATCAATCATTCTACAAGGTCGCGCGAGCGAAAATGTACATTAACGCATCACGGACGAGAGTCCACATGAGTCGCCGCGAAATATGAGAAAATATCTCTGAAAAATCGTGAATCGAGACTCAATTATAATTACACGGCAACTTTCTCTGTATCTGTACGCAGTTGCAGTGACAATGGCTTACAATAATTAACTCGAGGCGTTGCAAAAATCTTGCAATTTGTTGCTGCAAAACTAGCTCTCAGCTTCAGCGCAAAAAATGCGATGCTCGATTGAAAGTAAATCACACGGAATTATCAGCTAGGTAGCTCTAAAGGATATCCGTCCTCTCTTTCAAGTCGCCCTTTACGCGCGCGCGCGATATTTTCACGACCTCGTTTTGCCTGCCGTTGCATCTGAACGCTATAACACTGCTCTTTTATGGATATCACATACGGAGCAACTCGCTCAGAATGTGTCCCGTCGCGCCGGGAATTCCGCGCCGACTACCATTGCGCGCGCTGAATCAGGCACGCCAGGCATCGGTACACATTCAGAAGATGACATATGAAAGGAAAGGCATATATAGGTACGAAGTCATTCAACTATTTATAAGCTTTCATATGCTCTTCGTATGGCTCTTTAGGGTTGCTCGACGCATCGAAGAAAAATGCGAGCTACATGGCGTCGAATGTTTCGAGAGAATCCTCTCGCCGTCACGTATTTCACGCATTTGTCAAAATTAAATGCAAAAGGGAGTTACGTTCGTAACTCCTGTCCGCTTGTTGCGAATGAAAGACAGGTGAACGTTGATTTTACGTTGCGAATGCAGGACGATACACGTCGACAGGAGATCTATGCATGAAATTTCAAATTTTAAACATTGCAAATACCTCACCATCGATTGAACCTTGAATGTAAAAAAAAAATGTGTCCATCACAGTTATCCATCTTATTCGTGTATATATGATATCAAAATAAAAATCACGGAATGCTGGTATAAGTCATGTTTGTAGGATTACAGCTTTCTTTTTCACGGATATGTACGTATAATTCGGTGACAGTCTTCAAAGTGACAAACATTCGCACGCATTCGGTCTCTCGGGGTCTCAAACTTACAATTCCGTCGTGGTCTCTACGGGACTCTGCTCGCCCAGATACGTGAACCCGAGATGCGAATAATCCTTCCTCTCCCTGAAGGTGACGTTGTCGTTGGACGGACTAGGGCTCAGCAGATCACCACCGTGATTGTACAGGGGATTAAGTACCGGTGTCGCGTCACGGTTGTTCAGGGTGTTCGTGTTGCTGTGATTTTTTCGGCCCAGCGTGGACCGTCGCAGGGAGTGAATGTTGGTGTCGCCGTGATTGCCGACGATGCTGGACGCTCGCGCCGTGGTCGCCGCTTCGGAGCTGACAGGACTTTGCTGGCCTTAAAACAGAAACGTCATATTAAGTCCGTGCTGTAGATTTCGGATATCCAGTACAAACGATATGTGTAAATACAAAAAGGAGTTCAAAAAGGATTTACACTGCGTTAATCCTCTGGATGAAATAACTTTGATTTAAAGAAATTAATGGCTTATAGATTATAAAGATACATATATGTATGAATTTTATATACGTATTCTAGTTTCAGCGAACTGCGTGCCGTACGTTATTTTCGGATTCAACGCAGCTCTTGAAACAGAACAGTATTATCACGTTGTTAAATTTATAATCAATTTAATAGTACTGATCTAACTCACCGGCATCTAATAAAATCCCCCTCCCCCGCGAAGCGACATAATGTTAAGAAATATTTACTGCGAAAAATATTATCTCAGCCAGGATTCAAATCTGAGACTTCCCGACTTTCCACATAAAAATATAGAAGCACCAAGATCCTGCTATAACTATGCATTGGCCTTCGGAGAGAACTCAATCTATTGTGTTAAAAACACATATACGGTCGTAATATATACATATATTATATATATTTTTTCTTTTAATTTTTTTTTAATCAATTGTGAATGGTAACACGAAAGAAGATATGAATGCGGAATCTATTTCAAATTTTGTAATCTTCTACGGAATATCTTTGATAAAGTTATAGCTCGGATTACATGTAGGTATTATGTCATATGCTGCGAATTACCGGTACTGTCTCCGTGATCTTTGGTGATGTAGCTGACGTTGTCCAGGCTGAATGCGTGATTCTTGTTGCTAAAATCCAATTGTAAATCATTGCAGCTGTCGTTGTCGTCGACCGGCACGCTCATCTGGAGCACTTGCGTCTCGTATTCCTTCAAATTGGGTTCTACGTAGACGGGATCGTATCGCGGCACCACGTACATGCGCTGCATGCGTTCCTTGTATGCTTTATACCTAAACGTAACAAGTACATTTTCAGCATGAGAGAGCATCTCTCTCTCTCTCTTTCTCTCTCTCGGAAGGGTTTTAAATTCCCCATCACGGAAGTAAACACTCCGGAAGGACTATTTTACCGCGATCGCAATGTCGATGTAATAAGTGTTTACAGTGAAGATATTCAAAGCGGAAAGCGCAATTAAAGCTAATGGAAGTAATGAAGAGCGATATGAATTTGCATGACTCATACTGACGAGTCAAATGAATATTCACACTCGTGGAGCAACTCTCCCATGCAATCGTAATAACCGCAACTGGCGATGGTCTCCATTTCGATACGTTGCATACAAATACAATTTTTATTAAAATAACAAAAAATGCAACAAATATCTGTTAGTTTACAAGTCCACCTCGAAATACGAATTTAAAATATATTTTCACACGTGACGAATTTCTCCATTACAGAAGGTTAATTTAAGTTTGTTATTTTAATTGATGTTATAGTAAACTTAATTTTTATAATAATAGGTTAATCTAAATTTGTTATTTTAATTGATGTTATAGTAAACTTAATTTTTATAATAAACCGTAATTATATCGCGAGCTCTAATTTGGTTTCCTCATAAATATATTTTCATAAAATATGTATTTGTCGATTTTCCTTACGACTCGCAGTGTTAAAAGAAGTGTTGAACGGCATTAAAATCACAGCACTTACTTGGACCAGGAGACGCATATGTAGATGATGCCGGCGATGCCGAGGATTAAAATGACGCACGCGATGATGATCAGCGCATACGGGAATACCTCGCCGCTGAACGCGACCGCCGTTTGCGTTCGTATCGGCTCGGGCGGCATCACAGGTGCGTGAATGTCGATGGCATTTGCCCGCACTAACGTAGACACGTCAAAGGTGATGTTTGACATGGCCGATTTGTCCATGATGGACCTGTCGAGCATTCGGCGCTTTTAATATTTGCTCGCGATCAAATGTTAAGTAAATCAAACGTTGCAATTGACCTTTCGGCGCTCGCCTCTCGCGGCAAACGTGCCTCTCTCGTTATTAAACACGGAATGGTCGTTTAGATTCGATTTAGTTTCATATTGATTTAAGTTACGGAAAATAAATTTAAATCCTGAAAGGTCATGAAATTTAATAAGAGATTCCTAACAATTTGCATATAAAGCCCAAATGGTATTTCAGCGATTAATTATGAAAAAAAATTTAATTTATAGAATTTTCGCGTATTATTTCGAATCATATGCGCGCATTCTAAGGCGTACCTCTGCACTTTAGTGCTGTTCCTACTCAGTATAGTTTCGGTCTCCGGGTCGACCGCGTAGAACCACACGTCGGAGTCCTGCGGGAACGTCTCGACGGTGCCGTTCTTCGTGAGGATCTTTCTCATCGCGACCCTGTCGATGCCGATCAACAGGCCGCTCTTCTCCTCGATCACGTTGGCTATTTTGCCAGCCGCCTTCTGCAGCACGTCCGGCGCCGCGTCCTGCACCACCAGAATCATCAGGTGTTCCTCGCCGATCAGGTTAACGGTCACCGGCGCGACGATGGTGTTGTAGTTGTCGGTCGAGTTGGGGTTGTCGCGCACGCGAACGTCGAACTTGAATGGCAACTCGGACGCGTCCACGTGGTCGAACGTCGCCGCCGTCCTGATTATACCGGTGGAGCCGTCGATGGCGAAGTAACCGGAGCCTTGCCCGTCCTGGATCTTGTACTCCAGCTTGCCGTACTTGCCGTTATCCTTGTCGTGCGCCTTCACCTGCACGACGGTGGAGGCGAATTGCGCGGTGCGCCGAATCGCCGCAAAGTAACGTCCCCTCGTAAGCTTCTGACTCGTCTCCGGGAAGATAAACTCGGGCTTGTTGTCATTTACATCCAGCACCTGGATCTTCACCTGCGATTTCATTTTTATTAGTGAAAAACAAGATTTGCAATAATTTTGCTGCTGCAAGACTCAACGAATTTAGTCTTCTTATACAAATTAGATTTCCTGTTCATTTTTTTTTCTCACAAGAGTATAAATTTTGATGTTATAAAATAAATTCTGCTTAGATAAAGATTAAAGGATAAAAATAATTGTGGATTTATGTCTAAAGATCTTATATATAAAGTATTTCAATAGAAACTCTTATTACGTAACAATTTGTAATTAAAACAATAACATTTATAAGTTACTGCAGGATAAGTAACTTAATTTTTTAATATGTTTCATATGTGTTTTAATTTTTTATTTTTTATATATCCGTTCGTTAAGGACTATATAAAGCGGTTCAGGGTCCGCAACGTCCGAGGTTTTTGATCTTACCATCGTCGTATTTCTGCCTGAGTTTAAGAGGCCCGAGAGCGATTCCAGCTTGATCTTAATCTGGTAAGATTCCGTCGTCTCGTAATCCAGCGCGCCCTTCTTCAGTCGCAGCGCGCAGTTTCGCTCCTCCGTGATGTTCGCCTCGAACAGGCCCTCCTCATTGCCGCTGTAAATCTCGCACCTGAGCGGCGTGGTGTCGTACGTGTGACTGTTGATGATGGTGAGTATCTTTATTAGCGTGTTGTCGCCCGCGTCCTCGGGTACTTCGACGTTATACGAGTTCTCCGCGAAGCCCAAACCGATCTCCGGCGGCACCGTCGCCACGTGACGTACGTAGACCGGCACGGTCGTCACGGAGGACAACTGCGGCTCACCCATGTCGTATGCACGCACGTCGACCTGGGAAAAAAGAAAAGAAGATTATCTCGCGTTGACGAGCCAGATCGCGAGCCGCGAATGCGCGACGTCAAATTGTATACGCAAGGATATCAAAATTGAAAATATATACCTGATACTCGGAGTCGGTCTCCTTGCGCAAGTCGTCTCGTATTCGGAGTACGCCGGTGTCGGGATCGATTACGAAGTACTTGCTGGCGATACCGCGGCCGATGATCTCGTATCGAATCTACGAACACCAGGCGGCTCGGTGAAAATCTACCACGGATGATTCGACGGGGAAGAAATCGAGTAATGGGAGAATGATGCACCTACCTGATTTCCCGGCGCGGTGCCATCGGAGTCCGCAGCGACGAGATTGATCACGGTCGTACCGATGGGGACGTCATCGTCCAGCGTGATCGGACGTGGTACCGACGTAAATACCGGTGGAATGTCGTTCACGTCCTGCCACGATACGTTTAGAACGTTATTAATCCGTCCGAGTAATAAGATACAGTTAAATTAAAAGTAGTGGTCGATGCACGATAAATGATGGGACGATCGTTGATTATGATATTAATGCGCTCAACGTGAACCGGTTCCGTTAAATTGATTCCACGGATTAATTCCCGTGACTAAGACAGGCAATTAATTCCCGTTTTAATATTTTAACTAGAGATGCCCATGCATTAATAATCCGGAAGAACTAGCTGTGTCAAGTATACATGCATACTTTATTTAATTATATTTTATTTAATTATTGTACAAGATCTTTTAGATCATTAATCAGAAAAGAAAATTTACTTTATTTTATTAAAATAAAATATTTCATAACTAATTCATCATGTTATAAATCTTTACATAACTGTTTCTCAAATATGATAAATAGAGATCGATAGCAATTTATGTTGGCCGTATAATGTGATATTTTAAAAGGCATTCATGCGTGCTATTGTATACACAAGATCTTTTAGATCACTAATCAGATAAGAAATTTTATTTTATTTTATTTTATTATTAAAATAAAATATTTCATAACTAATTTATCATTATAAAACTTTACATAACTGTTTCTCAAATATCATAAATAAAGATCGATAGCAATTTATATGTTGGCTGTATAATGCAATATTTTAAAAGGCCAACGTGATGCGCCAACGAACGATAATAGTAAATCGATGATATAATAATTACGATACTCTAGTGGCAATACAAGTGGATACAATATTGGCAAATTTATTGGACAAACGTACATACAATTATCTACATTGGGAATACATTGGTCCAATATTACGCCAATAAATGCCAATATTCTGCTACTATAAGGATAAAGAAAGATTCAGACTCGTAAAAAGAAATATACCTGAACATTAATGACAACACGGGTGGTAGAGCCGGGTAAATCGTTGGTGTTCTCCTCGGTGCCCACGATAAGTACGTGCTGGCTCTGACTCTCGTAATCGAGACCGCGGATAGTTTTTATTGTTCCAGTCTTCGGGTCTATGCTGAAGAGTTCGGTATCCCCTTGCTTGATCATGTACGTAATTTGCTTCTTTGTGTCCGGATCATCGGCCTAGAAATGATCGCGTTAGCTTCAAAACCTGAGTAAGACGACCGTCCCCCCGCCGCCGGCTAGCCAGGATGCGCGCTATCCTTTCCACTTCGCCGGCGGGGATGGGAATCGCCGACGACGCGAGTAACGCGAGCATCTCCGCGAGTCGGAACGAGTGTACATCTCGATTATCCGGTGAACTTTCGAAACTCCTCTCGAGCGGAGTCGCTCGTCCTCGATGAAATTACATCCCACCTTATTATGATTCATTTCGGAACTAATTTCACACTCGGCACGTTTCGCGAGCGAATTAGGAACGCATTTATATCTCAACGCGCGAAACACGTGTCTCACGTATTGCAGGGAGTTACACGTCAAACGATCTCGGCGACGCGTCGCCGAGACTCTCCGTGCCTCGTTAAATTAAAGCCCACGGCAACTCGGATACGAGCAGACAGATTAATTCACTTTTAATCGCAATTTCTATCGCGCTTTACACGCTTTTCCAATCGAGAACCAGGCGAACTATTACATGAATAGTATCGCTGCGATTTGACATGCGACTTACCGTGACTTGAATTACATTATAGTCGGGCACGTTTTCCTTGACGCGCGCCTCGTAACTGCTTTGGCGAAAGATCGGAACCTCGTCTTCGACATCTATGACTTTCACCGTGACTGTCGCGGTTGCCAAACGGTAATCGGGAGCTCCATCCCTCGCAGTCACAACGAATTTGTACTCCTACGTAAATTCACGCAGATAGATATTTTATCACACCCACAAAAATTAGAGCGAAGGTCCAGCGACCTTAATTTTAACAATTTAATTTTGAAATTCAAGAGAATGTCAAAATAAAAATTAAAAGTTTTAAGATCATGACTGTACAATCATATTTTCAAGATTTTATTTTCAATGATTTTTACAACGTGACCGATTAAATTAAATTAAAAGTTTCTTATCACGTTGCGCGTGTCACGTGGACTTGTTATCAGATTTTTCTACACTTTCGTTGCGTTTCCGCAAATGAGAGTCGTGCGAACTTTAACTCCAGACGTGCAGTTTGTCCCGTTCTCTTTGTCTCAAGCGCGCACGATAATACAATAGCAATTTAACTGTGACGACATTCTCGCAATCCGAGTATAAACTAAACCGTTTCGTTGTAAGACATTCCCCGAGTTGTAATCGCACTTTACAACTTTCGTGATACGCACGAGCATTCTCGGAAAGTCCAAGATTAAGCTGCATAGCTGTATCCATAATAAACGATCTTACAATTATAGAGTAAGCTCTTATGCATTATTTGATATGCCTTTCACAAACTCACATGAAAAGTAGAAACTCATTAACTGTAGAAATTTCTCTAATACATTATCTTCAATAATTTATCTTCAGTAATTAATTTACTGAAACTTTAATATCCCGAAATGGTTTTCTCGTGCAATAAAACTGGAGGACGGAAAGTTGAAATTTCTCCGAAATACTATTTTCAATAATTTTTTAGCTCAAAATAATTTTCCCGAAATAATTATTCCACGTGAAGAAACTAAAGGATAAAAACACTTATATGAATTTCCAAATTAACGTTGTTAAATAATAGGAGTTTATACTATTCTTAGTGCTTTACATTGAAAGCTGAGAAAACAATGGAAAGGTCACTCACGTTGTTCTGCTCGTAGTCCAACACTATCTTCGTCAGGACATCGCCGGTGTCGGGATCCACGGTGAAAGGAATATCGTCAGGTGCGAAATAGGTGATCTCGGCATTTATACCTTCGTCTGCGTCTTCGGCGTGTACACGGCCGATTAATTTACGCGCCTCGCCCTCCTTCACGGTAAACTCGTATGGGAGGCCCACGAATTCGGGATTTTTGTCGTTGATGTCGGTGACCATGATATTGACCGTCGCGGTGCTGTAGAGACCGCCGGTATCTTCGGCCTTTATTAACTACACAAATCAACGATGTCACAGTATTATGCTCCATTTTTAATTTATTCTAATTTGATGGTACGTGACGTGGATATAGTGACGAGTATACTTTCGAAAATAAAAATGCTTGGTACGAGATCAATAAGAGATTTTATTTTTAGTGTAAGATTCTTTTAGAAGAAATTTTTACTTTACGAGAAGATTCTTTTACTTTAAGAAATTAGGAAAAGTTATATGCGATTTCAGGAGCGTATTTATAATTTTTTTCGAGGGAGAGTTTATCAATCTTGTTAACTTAATGCATAAATTGCAATTTTTACATTAATGAATTGGATAATCGTAATAACGGAGAGAAAATAATATTTTATGATGACAAAAAATTTACTCAGAGTCAAAAGTAAACTTATATTTTATAATTAAAAACGAAAGGTAAATAAAAATTTCGGGAGGAGAGGGGAGGGTTGAACACCTCAAACTCTCTCCTTGAATACACCCATGTGCAAAACAAATATTTGAAATATAAATTACTATCTTTTCACTTAAAGAGATATAAATAGATTATATGTGCCGAAAGTTGAAAATGTTGAACGTTGTGCTTCGATTTCGCGCAGCTACTCGTTTACAAGCAGAGGAAGAGACACAAACCGGTGTTTTCTTAGATTAGATAAAAGCTGTCGGTAGAAAGCGGAGTAAAGCGAGAAGTGCATTGGCTTGCAGTAGAGGGTGTAGGAAGTTCGTGCCACGGTTGTATGACGATATCGGCTTACCAACTGATACCGGGTCAGGTCCTCCCTATCCAACTTCCTTATAACGGTTATAACGCCTGATTTGTCGCCGATCGCAAACTGGCGCAAGTCATTCCCCGATACTATCGAGTACGACACCGGATCGTTTTCTGGGTCAATGGCCTGTAACATCGATTGACAACGCAATATTACCGTTCAATATATCCGTTGCTGTAAAAAGAAAAATATATATGGATTTCGATTTCAAAGAAGAGAGATATGCGTACAGATAAATAAGAGAATTAATTGCGAAATATTTTTCTTGCGTATAATCCGAAAAAAGGAACGAGATGAAAGAGAAACGAAGCGCGATCGCATGTTCCATCAACGGACGGAGAGACGAAAGGAAAACGAAAAACGAATGAAGTGCATATCGAGCGGATACAGTGCTTCTATGTCAGAGCGGTTGAAGTTTTTAAAATAAAACGCCGACGAGACGAACATCATATCGAGGATACTCACAGTGATAGTCGCGACGGTGGAATTGATGGAGGCCCCCTCGCTGACTTGCACCTCGTACACCGGTTGCTGGAACACGGGGCTCCTGGTGTTGGGCCCGGGAATGACGTTCACCTCGACGATTGTCTGCGAGTACTTGCCGCCCTTGTCGGTGGCCTGCACGGTGATGCTGTACTGCTCGCCGGCGTTCAGCTTCCTCACGGACTCGATAACGCCGGTCTTCGGATCTATCTTGAACTTATGCAGGCCGTTGTTCGACACGTGATAGATACTGTACGTTATCTCGGCGTTCTCGCCCTCGTCGTTATCCGTGGCCTCCACCTACGGAAGCGAGATCAGAAAAATTTAAATTCTCCTATCTCGCATCTATACGCGAAAGAGTTATGACCATAAAATTGTGCTCGCGAGCAATTGACAAGCAGCAATCGATGACAATTTGAGAGACACCAAAAAGGTACCGCATACGAAAAACTTAAAATTTACTCGCGTTTGTTATATCATTCTCGAACGTAGGAAATATTTAGTCAATTAAAGCATAAAGAAGCCACCTTCGCTATTTGTCTCTTTGTCTCTCCCGCTTGCACGGTGATGGGTGGCATCATCGGAAGTAGCGGCGCATTGTCGTTAACGTCGTTCAGCGTGACGATGAACGACAGCGGCGACGACGCGGCCACACCCGTTTTCTCCCGGGCGACCACCTGGAATCGGAAGCGGCCGGGACTCGGTGGATCCCGGTCCAAATTCTCCTCGTTGACGACAAGCACGCCGGACGGATCGATCGCGAAGAAATTCGTCGTTAATTCGAAGGTGTAAGCTGGCTTCGGATCATCTGGTCCCTATAAAAACGGATTTTTTTTCTTTTAACGAAAGGCAAAAAAAGCACAGTGACTTCTGTACGGGTGACATGAATTTCGCCAGGACGGGTTTTATCCGCTAACAATGGAGAAAATTAAATAGTCGATTCGCACCTCGGTCACGCTTCGTTAAATAGAAACCGCGGATAGAATTTACACGGGATTGGACTCACCAGATCGGCGTCCGACACGGTAAGCACAATGGGATTCCCGCTTTCATCGATGACCTTTGTGCCGATCGGCGCGTTCTCGTCGACAAAACCTTCGATGTTTGACGCCGTTATAACGGGCGGATTACTGTCGACGGGCTTGATGGTGATTGTTAATTTAGCGGTGGCCGATCGCTTCGCTTCTGACACCTCGACCGCCTTGAGGAAAGAAAGAAGGAAAAATTCAGTTATTATACATTCCAGTTATTATACATGCCCAAATTTTTGAAAAAAAAAAAAAAACGTTCAAGTTGTATTATGTAACATCTTCCACGTGAAATGTAATATTTACCTTGATAATAATGTCAAACTTCTTCGTTACCGTCGTGTCGACGGCTTTGATTTGCCTCACCGCCCCGGTGTTGGGATTTATCTCAAAGAAGTCCCGGTAATTCGGCGGATTTCCGCTCAGGAACGAATAGTGAATTGGCGCGTTTATGCTGTCCATGTCGACCGCTTGTATTTTCTCGGGCGAGATATTGAGTATGCCGGACAGAACTCCGCTCGATACCTGACGAAGAGAAAAAGGGCATTCGCTCTTGCTGCAGAACCGGTTGCGACCGATTTATTGGCTACGTGAATTTGAGCAGCGAGATATCGCGGCGGTCGATTAGGCGCGCGTATTCGATTACATTTGAACTTTTCAATGCTACAAATTTTTTACGGAACGTTAAGGAAACACATTTCCTCTCGCTAAATGATTCCCCGGTGTTGATACGTGCTCGAATTGGAGCAGCAGTTTTTTGTGTCTTTTACACAATCGACGCTACTCGTACGTACCGACGCGGAGTATTCCGGGTTGATGCAGGCGCCGTCCGAAAGCATACAACCTTGATAAATAAAGGACGGATCCTGATCATCGTCGTCCCGTATGTTCACCGTCAATGTGGTCGTGGACGTGAATCTCTCAGAGACGTTCCTCGCTCGGTCCTGTAACCAAATAATTTGCAACGTAAAGCGACGAGGTAAGTGCAAATTTAACTTTCTAAGTAGTGTCGAAGATTTCAGCTAAGGCAAGGAATTTGCATTTTGTACCGTTCGTGTACCTCGTAAAAATCATTGTACTGGCAGTACGAAAGTATATTTTATACATTTTACAGTCGAATCTTGATAACTCGAACCTCTACAAGAGAACCTCTATAAGAGAAAAATTTTCTTCATTCCCTTCCGCTTCACTGCGGAAAATATCTATAAATCGAAACCTACCTTAATTCGAATTATTTGTCAGATATTTAGATGTATATATCGATAAGTCAAAAACTCTATATATAACTCGAGGAGTTTAGCTCTTCCCTTCGGGATTCGAGTTATCGTGGTTCGACTGTAGTTGCATTTGTAAATTATTTATTTTATTTTATTATAATTATAGCAAGAGAATTTCTCTTCCATTTCCCTTGAATAATTATAGTGAGAAATAATACCTCCTCATTATTATATTTAAATTTCTCTTTAAGAAATTGAAGAATACTTTCCTCAATTCGTTATTTTATTATTACTATCGTATTCTATGTCTCTTTCTTTCTCTTCTTTTCGTTTCTATCAAAGAAAAGAGCGCGAGGAAATATTAATAAAAATATCTTCGTCCATTTCTTCAAGCTCATAAATAAAAACTTGAATGACGCATGAAAATCGCCGGCGATAACGCGCCATTAATCTTGCGATTTCGACGCGTCACGATCATATTGACATTTTCAATAGTCGCCACGTGCGCGAAAGGAACAAACATACGTTTTTTATTTCTCGTCCTCCGCACACATCACATGATCCGATATACCAGTTTCTACCCAGGTTTGCCTCGGGAAAGAAACCTCGTCTCTTTCTTCTCGTCTTTCGTTCTCCTCAGTGACCCCATTTATGCAATAACGGGCCTGGACCACTTATCAGACGCTCTAAATAAAGGTAACCCGTTATTGTAACTTTCATTACGCCGAGAAGATCGTAAAGACGCTTCCGAAAGTACCGCATAAAGTAGGCATACATCTTGGAACGCATATTGCGACACATATATGCTACAAATTACAACGCGCGCAGTTAGTTGTAAAAGTGCATAGGTACACTGCCTTCCGCTGCATGTACATAGAGAATGGTCTCGTAAACTTCGTCTTTTAATAAAACCCCGTATTATTCATTGTTCCTCATTGAGACACGCTGAGAAAACGTGTTCTCGAATAAAATCGTCGTACCTCAAAATTTCATCAAAACTTTCCGCGATGTGAAGAAGCGAGGAACAAGATGAGAGTCGACAAATATTTCGTTATTAGCAATGTCAGGCTTGTGGACTTCTTTAACATTTTCCACAAGCCAATGTTCGACGCTAAAGTGCTTCTACGAAAAACGCTAAATGCGAACGTTAACTTTACATATGAATCATCTTGTCTTTACATGTACGAGCTGTACGCTCGGAGCATCGACGCGGAACACTGTTCCTCGCGGTGCGGAGCTCGCGGTGGAGTAAAGGAGCAGTGTTTCACGGATCAGAAGTCGGTCATTTGTTCCACATAATATTCAAATGAGCCGCACCTGCTCGCAGCACCGGGCGGCTTAATCCGAATCGAGAGGGAGGGAGAGAGATCGATCGCGTCCTCGACTCGGGGAGATTCGCCGCGATTATGCGAGACCGTGGCCGATTTATCTCTCATGGCTCGCCGAACAACGAGAGAGAGAGAGAGAGAGAGAGAGAGCTATGAGCGCGACGCGCGGGAAATAACTATTACCCTTGACCATGGTGCGCGGCCGAGGCTATATCCCGCGCATATGCCAATAGTAATAATGGGCGCACGGTGCATCCATTTGCCTTTTTCATTTCGTCTCGCTTACGGGAACGGCCGCCCGCCGGGGATCGTTTAATGACATCGTCATGTTGCCGGCGCGGCGCGAGACGAGAGAAAGACGCAGCATCTATAAATTCAATCGCATTTTTCCACCTACCGTCCGATTGCTCGTACTCTACTCTAACTCTGCCGCACCGGGTCGATCACGCAATTTCGAACATGCACGAAATTGCAATCGGCAAGCGACGATGACGACGGCGGCGGCGGCGGGCGGCGGTACGTTGCAATGAATACGCGTCTCGGATGCGCTCGTAAGTCGACGTGCGCAGTCCGCGTCTCGGATTCTATTACAGGTGAAATGAAGCCACGATCCCGTATAACATTTCGTATTAAATGCAGGTGCTGCCAGCTCGAATTAGATTTTAACAAAAAACCGTGACGCGGCGCGGGATAATAATTGTGGGAGTCTTATTTTCGAGTGAAGTAATTCATCCGTAAAAGATGATAAAATCGGCAAACGGAATTGCATCGCAAGCGCCGTAACAACAGGCCGCCGCCGTAATTTTATAAAATTATTAATTCCCCCTGATATTACATAGAATTGCGAGATTAAAATTCGATCGTGTATCGCGATTCGATATTATCGAATTTATCTGTTTCATTTCCGTCTTTTTTTGCACAAGGCAACCAAATTAGCATCGTGCGCCTAAAGATCACAATGCAGCGCGCAGAACGGCAATAGCAACAGTGTAATAACTTAATAGAATCGATTCCGAGAAGGAGTCGCTTAAAGTGACGGTTAACTGATCGCTTACAAGAAGCCATGACCAGAGGCGGCTCTAAAACTAACGAGGTTTCAGGATGGAAAGTGGCTATTGTGCCCTGGCGTGAGACCCCTGCGCGCGTAAAGCCCTCTCGCAATGGACCTCTCCGGCAAAAAAATCGCTTGTTTCAATTTAGCCTAAGGAGAGCATTTATCGCGATCCACCGAGGTCCTTGCACTAGAGTAAAAGGTTGAAGTGTAGCTCGCTGTAATTCGCCTCACGGCTGCGGAGCTTGCCCTCGGCATATATACATTCCGCGAATAGAAAAAATCCCGACTAAAGTACAATTAAATTATTCAATCATTCTCCCAATCTGGTGATTGTGATAAATCCTATGTTCTGAAATGACAAATAGATTAATTGTGTTCCGTCTAATATCATCATCACAATTAAATTCTTGTTACAAGTAACGTCGTATCGCTGACGGAAACCGCCATTCAGCTTTCAGTCGCGAGAGCCGCAACCAATCGGTTCGCAATTTCGAACGCTCCGAACGATTCACTCACCGTTGACAAATCACCATTGCCGTCGCCGATACTCGGGCCGACGCGAATCAACGCGACGGCCAGGAACGCTTTTATCGGATTGAGAAGCTCCATTGTCGGCCTTTAAGTACGGCGAGTCACGTTCCCGTCGACGGCGCGTCACGAATCCGATCCCGTCATACACGTTCCACGTCGCATCCTCGTTGTAAGAGAGAGAGAGAGAGAGAGACGCGGATCGCCGTGAAATCTCCGACCGGACAGATTTGCCGAAAGGGTCTCTTTTCGGCGATTTGCGACCGCGAGAAGGACAGTCCACGTGCCCGAGGAATCTCGGGAATTAGTACGTAACGAAGCGCGGTGACCGTAAGGTGTGTCCCTCGCCCTCGTCCCACATGCAACCTCGGCAGTAATTCCCTGCGCTCCGATCGTCGTGTCGTGTCTGAATCCTTAGACCCGCGAGCCGTTAACTGCGCATGGAATTACGTTACAACATTCCTCGTGGGGCCGATATAAATCATGCGTCTTTTAATCGGCCGGACGACATACCTCCTCTCGAGCTAGCGCTCCTATGTGCCTAACAACCTTAAACCGTGTATACGAGTGTTATATCTAATATCAGAGACGGGTCGCCGGGAATAATCCAGAAATTAGCGATTAAACTTTAACGTTCTTCACGCGTCGGACGGGCGTTCGTGAAATTGAGCTGTGAAAATTTCATCGGGGGAGTATAAATTTTGCGCAAACAAGACGTGATATATTTAAAGTGCCCAGGAGCTCTCCTTTCCATAAATTTCACATGCGCGGCGATGTCTTGGTTACAACTTTTACATTATTGATAAGCATGCCGCCGACATTTTCACGTCTACGTCGTTATTCTCTTCGTGTTATTTCAGAGCGTCCTTCATTATTGAGAGCTCTGAAAACAGTTCGAATATCGAACAGCCACGAGTTCGCTTTAAACTACCATCGAGTTGACGCGCGATGGAAATGGGAGAGGAGGAGGGGATGAAGGCAAAATCTAATATTTCGTGCCGAGCTATCGGTGCGCGCGATCAAGTTATCTCGCCTCTATATATATTGTACTTCAACCGCGGTGACGCGCGGAGCGCTTTATGTAACGCCAGATCATTTACATCGGAACCCAACGGAATATTGTGTCACGGGAATCTTCGCATCGGCAAATTCGTCGGTCATCTATTCGCTCTATCTGGGTTCTATATTCGCGCGCGGAATCAATCATGCGAGTCGCGAAATCGATGCCCTCCTCCTCCGCTCCAGGAAATCCTTTCCAGAAATACCGTACCAGAAGTACCTGTGCCTTGCGCGCGGTCTCTTTTTTTTCACCAATAGAATCATTACGGATTGCGCGAGATTAACGTGCAAAAATTTTCAGAAGAAATCGGAAGAGGCTATGTCCTTCGACCTCGATATGTCGGTCGCGCGGTACCGAGTCACGCCGATAATCCTGTAACAAACACAGATTGTAACTGTAAAATTTCAGCTATTTTGCAGAAATACTACAATGTTGCTGCAGTATTGTAGTTATAATCTGTGTTTGCTGGGATCCGACATATCGCCGAAGGCGGAAGCGACCGATCTGTAGTTGAAGCGTTTCGCGACACGCGCTCTCCGCCGCGAAGGATTACGTACGGTACGCGAGGCGTTCCGGAAATCCGCCCGCTTCCTCTCGACGCGTACACGGCCGCTCGTCACGGTTCGGCATACGTAACAGACAATTTTCCATTTTCTCCGTCGCGCTGCCATTTATTTCGTATAATCGCTAATTCCTATAGACGTATAGAAATGTTATAGATTTTCAACGTGTTCAATCTGTTATCCTCTCCAGGGCG